CAGACAGAATAGGAAGCATCAATTACACAAGATGCTGTAGTGACAATATCACAGCTTAAGAACATTTCGATGCAATTGTAGGACTCATCCAGTCTTAATAGATTTAAATTGAGAGTAAATAAATATCGGAACGAATTTAATTACATTTTCTGATCCATCGATTGGAGGCAATATCAATGTAGATACTCTGTGCTGTAACTTGATGATATTAATTGAATTTTCTTTATTACTTTGCCATAGCAAAAAAGTTTAGTCCGTAAAACCACTTATTAAGCTTACTTTTTTTGTAGGTTGACATAAACTTTTTTATAGGTTTTTTCAACTTTTTAGAGCCAAATCACGTTTTATTTTCTGATTTTAATATTTACTATTGCAGTTATAATAAATTTATTCATGGCTTTTATATCATTTCTTAATTACACAATAGAACTCACTTTTTTCTTTTTTTAAATAATTTTTTTTGAATTTTAATTGTTTTTATTTTCTCTAATTTTTCATCAACAAAAATCATCTGATCATAACAAGAAAAGATTTAAGCGTAAAAATAGCACAGCTTTAACAACAAAGAGGCACTACAAGAATAAATAATAATAATTTCAATTCTTTTCTTTATTTCATTTCAAAATAGAGCACAGGCCATAGAGTCACTCTTTTTCTCTCACCATACACACTGTTTTCACAGCAAGACTATAAGCTTATCACTGCTCAAATGACTCAGACAGACTGACTGAAACTGAGTAAATTATTTGTGTATAAAGCAATAGAGAAAATGAAATAAAAGGAAAATATTTGCTGTGTGAGATTTTCTGTTTGTTGACGAGAGCGAGAGTTTCTTTTATTATTTGTTTAATATTATTATTTCAGAGAAACAAGTTTGTGTCGCTACATGTGAGTGCACTCAGAGAGTCTTTCATGATACATAGCTTTCATGTGTTGAAATACATTTAGTCACAATGCAATTAAAGACTTGAAGACATTGAAACTCTTAATATGAACTGCAATAGTTATATTGAAATTGTCGTGTGAGTATACGCAGTTGAAAATGGAATTAATAGTGGTTTATATGAAAGTTATGAGAGTTCGAATCTTATTAAGAATTCAGCGAAAATGATGAAATGTCAAACTTGTAAATGATTTTTTTTTCTTAAATTTATAAATAAATCCACCAAACTCTTTCCCACCATCTTCTTATAACCCTTTAGAATTCTTATTGTCAGTCAAAGATTGCAAGTTAGAGGCTCGATCCTTAAAATATTTTTTTTTTAATTGCATTTATTGACGACATACTTGTCCGGAAATAATTCACATTTTACACTTTTGTATTTGTATACATATGAATTAGTATTATGTAGGATCAAACTTCTAATCTTCAAATCTAGGTTTCAAATAAACTAAGGCTCTCGTTTCGATCTTTTGTGGGCGTGATGTGATACTTTTCAGGTCCGTTCTAACAATATTCCATTCGTGGGTAATCTTGTAGCTCTCGTTCCTATTTCTCCCGCTACACTTCAAGTTCCTGACCCGTTCCTTAATCCAACGTTGCCCAAATGCCCAATTATGGCTTGATCTCGTACATTAAGCAGTCGAAGTATCTTAACTTCCGAAAAAGAACAAATTTGGAAATGGCTGGATTCGAACCGACGACCTTCAAATTACCATACCAAATTTGAGCCAAGCGCCTTACCCATTCGACCAGCAAGGCACTTAACTGCTTAAATATATATATATACATATATATATATATAAATATATATATATTATTTTAAAGATACAGAAATGTTAAGAATTTAAGGTTCGACTATCTTAAAACCTGGCTCATTCACAAGTTCTCTTCTTGGCGTAACACCAGAAATTCAAACCTTTAAAGGACGTCGAACTCACAATTTTCGACTCTAGCGTGTTCAAATCATACACAAAATTTTCACAGAATATTAATTCTCTCTTTTTTCCATAAAGCGAGAAGCTCAATCCAATGTCGTCTCGCGTTTGTCTCCTTCAACAAAACTTAACGGTTCCCTTAACTGACAAGTTCTTTCTCATGCTTATTTTGTATGTTTTCTTATTATGTAAATGCTGAATACGTAAATTTTTTCTTTGCTATTTTGTAAGGAAGTCAGAACATCCTTTTGTATCTGTTTCAAAGATTTTTTTTTTCTTCATCGAATCAATATTATTATTTTTTATTATTGTATCTTTTCTGAGAGAAGATTTTCTTTTATTTGTGTACATGTACATACTTTTTGTCCTTCAGAAAAGATGAAAAGTTAAAAAATAAAAATAAAGATTGAGCGATACATTATTTTAAGTTATTTTTGAGATAGTCGTTGATCATTGGTGAACAGGAATGTGTCCAGACTGTTTTAAAATATATTGGACGGAAAACTTGAAGTTTGTAGTACTAGAATATCGGAGAATCTATCTATTAGATCAGTGAGGGGTATTCAAACATCCCTAAATCGAAAATATTAGACACGACAACTAAATATTGACACTGAAGTGCTTCTATCGTCAATACAATACGCTACAAAGTTGTCGTCCTTAAATATTAAGCTGTAGCCATGAAAAAAGCACAAAAATATTTCCTTTATCCTATTGATCAAGGTCATTGCGATATGTCTAGTTGGAAAATTTATTATTTCTTCTTCTTCTTCTCTTCCGCAAACTAATTTGCACACAAAACGAATGGATGGGAAAAATAATAATTTCTGTGCTGATAAATCCACAGCATAATGTTGAAATAGCATTAATTGGATTATGTATATTGAGTACAGTTTTTGACTGTAACAAACTATTTCATTTTCACAGAAAAATATTATTCTTTCCCATTATTCAGATTTATAAAAAAAAAATAATTTTTTTTGGAAAGTTTCCAGACCATTTGCATGATAAGCTTCAGCATTTCTACGTCATTTCATCATGATCTACACGTGTGTGCATTTTATTAAATCCTACAAATTTTTAAGAACCCTGCATCAAATGAGCATAGCTTAATTGAGTTTTAATTGCTTGCTCTGCCTCTCGACGACTGTTCTGTTCACATGATTGCTCTTTTTATGTGACATTGCATTACAAGGGAAATTATTATTTCAATGTCAATGAAAATTATTGAGGAAAAACCTTTTTTTCGTTGAAAACCAGGCATGCACTTTAAACAAATTTAAATTGACAAAGTTTAATTGCAATAAATTACATGAAAATTCCGCTCGGAAACAACGAAAAAAACATCTGTTACAAGCTACGTACAACGCTTGTCAATTTCACAATGAAAACTGATTGCGTTCAACTAACACCTTCAGCAATTGGCCACGTTTTTTGAACAATTTATTGCTTTTCATCATGTTATCGTACAATGAAGGTATGTAGAACATTTTCTGATAAGCGGGACTGAGCATGAAGCTAGTTTTTCATGTATCGGGGGATATTTAAAGGAAAAGTTCTAACAAGAAGTCTGAATTCGGTGAAAACTCAACTTTTGTCTACCTTCGTGGTTATTCGACCCATCCATTCTCAATAGTCAAAGACCACAAACACATATTTCGCAGTTCCAACTTCGAGCACCTCTGACAACCATCAATTGTCCAATTTATAACCCATTAAATGGAAAAACTTTCAAAATATATAACTTGGAATGCACCACCGCTCACCAAATCGTAAATATATGTCCTTGAAAATAATTATCAATTAAAATGAATCACTATGAGCAATGACTAAGCCGATAAAATTGCTTCTCGTCATAGCAAGTCTGATAAGCCTTATAATTAGAGCATATAAAGATAAAAATTATTAATAATGCCTATAACAAAAATTAACTATGCTCTGCTATCGAAATTTAGATACGAATGAGACTTTATGATAAAAAGTAGATTCCGGGAAGTTCTGTCACGTTTAGTAGACAGCAATTTATTGTCAACGCAGTTTTGGGATTTCTGAATGAATAAAATTCACATGATCATTGATGATTTTACCAATTTTATATGTGTCAAGTGGGAGGAAGAAGAAGAAAAGCTCGGGATCAATAAATGCTGCAATGGAACAGTTTTTAGATAAAAACAATCCCAAATGCACAATAAAAAAAATCTATGGATGTTACGAGCTGTAAAATCAGATGATTTTCAAGGTCTTACAAGTAACGTGAAATGCTTTTTTAGAGGAAGAAGAAGCCAAATACAAAACGTACACAACACGAAAGTGCTTCGCATATCGAAAATCAATAAAATTTTTCCTTCTTATTATTCACTCGCTCGACCAGATTTTTCTATTTACAGAAGCTTCACCTACCTGCTGTCAATGCAACTAGTTTAGTTGATTAATGATGAACACTATAAGATGCTAGAAAATTTTCTTGCACATTTTTAAGATTTTTTTTTTGACTTTTTATCACAATAAATTAAATACTTTTGATCTTGAAACTTTTACTTAATATTTTATGTATTAACCGTGCACTTGACGATATTTTGATGGCAAAAGAATACACTTAAAAATTTTAAACGAGTATTAACACCAAAACGCGCTTTACTGTATTTAATTAACGACGGAAAAACACTTAGAAGACTTTTCTTTTTAATCCTTAAATTTTCACAATTTTTTTTTTCCGGGGGATCACAACTATAAGGAAAAATTAAAATTTGAAAAATAACCGTTGAAAAGTTTTTCGTTGAAAATTATGGTTTATCTGCTTAATATCAAGATTCTGTATCGACAGATCTCTCAATTTTGACACTATCTATCATGTTTAATGACTCAAGAGTTTGATAGACTGTTAAATAAGATTTTTATGAAAAAATTTTAAATTTGAATTTTCCAGAGTCTTCTTTGTTGGTGTTTTGATTGTTTACAAATGTTTTCTCTTATAACTTCTCGTTCCTATAACTGACGACCTTCTCTTCATCAAAATCACATTATCATCATCACAGCTTTAAGCTAAATCATGAAAACTCAATTTTCTTTAAATTTTCAACTCAATATATAACAGTCAAAAATAATTCAAATTAAAGGGCAACAAACACATTCAAAAAAAGTTTGTTTACAAAAAAATTCCGGATTTTAAAGTTTAATTAATCTCGATGATTATAAGGTGATAGCCAGTAAAAATGACAATTTCGGATTACATTAGTTCTCTAGCTGACAATCCATATTTTGGAGCTGGCTCAGGAATCTTCGCATTAGGTAAACTTCATAATTTTTCATGTTATTTAATAATTTTGTGCAAAAATGTCAATAAAATTAATTATATTAATTGCTTTGAAGGCCTTGGGGCTGCTATGCTAAGGAGAGGATCACAAGGTGCTTTAATTCTCTTTCGTCGGCATTTTATGATTACACTGGAAGTTCCATGTCGAGACAAATCATATCAATGGCTACTTCAATGGATCACACAGAAAGGAGCACGTAAAACTCAACATTTGTCAGTTGAGACTTCTTTCCATCAAAAAGACTCGGGTCATGTTCAAACGAAATATGATTTTATACCAAGTACTGGAACTCATATTATGTTCTACGGTGGAAACTGGATTAAAGTTGAAAGAACTCGTGAATCACATACACTGGATCTTCATATGGGCGTACCTTGGGAAACTGTGACTTTAACAGCATTTGGTCGTGATAAAAATATTTACTTTAGAATGTTGGAGGAAGGTTAAAAGCTATACATTTTTATTATAATTCAATAATCATCAATTTATTGTGCATTTCAGCTCGTCAGCTAGCACTTAAGTCTACAGAAGGAAAGACAATTATGTATACAGCAGATACGAATGATTGGAAACCATTTGGACATCCAAGACAACGTCGTCCATTAAGCAGTGTCGTTTTGGATGAAGGAATATCTGAGAGAATTTCTAATGACTGTAAAGAATTTATTCAGAATCAAAAATGGTATTCAGAAAGAGGAATTCCGTATCGACGTGGCTACTTATTACATGGACCGCCTGGATGTGGCAAGTCATCATATGTTACTGCTCTTGCAGGCGAATTAGAATATGGCATTTGTCTACTTAACATGTCTAATCGATCAATGGATGATTCACGTTTAAATGGACTTCTAAAGTAAGAGATTTTTTTTAACATTTTTTAAAATTTTGTTTTGACGGTTTTGACACTCAAAATGACTAAAATCAGACATTCAACTAATTAGGGATCGTTCACTTATGACGTCCGAAATTAACGGTCATTTTTCAAAAAAGAAAAATGGATTTCCAGGAATTTCTATTGTTCTTTTCTTGCTGACCCCCCCCCCCCCCCCCCCCCCCCACCCCCCTGGACGTCATAAGTGAACGGCCCGTTAACAACTTTCCATTTCTACAGCATCGCTCCACAGCAAACAATTATCCTACTCGAGGATATTGATGCAGCTTTTGTTAGTCGAGAAGAAACAGATGAGCAAAAACTTCAATACAGAGGACTGAATCGAGTAACATTGAGTGGGCTGCTTAATGCTCTTGATGGCGTTGCATCATCTGAGGGTCGTATAGTCTTCATGACTACGAATTATTTGGATAGACTCGATCCAGCCTTAATTCGTCCAGGACGAGTTGATTTGAAAGAGTTTATTGGACATTGTACTAGATATCAATTAGAGCAGATGTATCGAAGGTTTTATGATGGACCGGATTTGCTTGATTTTGCGTCAAGATTTGCTGATAATGTTTTGAAACAGAATCGACCTGTAAGTCCAGCACAAATTCAAGGATATTTTATGATACATAAATTATCGGATCAACAGAAGGTCCTAGACAACATAGCAGACTTATGGAAGAATTAAAAGTAGCAAATAAAGAAAAAACTTAGGGTTGACAGTAAATTTTATCATATTTTTATGCAATTTTCCAGGTGATGCATTTATTCAGTTCTAGTACAGGCATTAAACTGAATTTAAAATTCATAAAATTTAAATTTGGACTTTCAGAATGTATAATTCTACACGGCTATAAATATCAAAAGGCATTAACCATCAATCAGTGTCAATCAATGTGTAAAATGTGCACGAAATTTCCGTCAAGATTTATCCAAAATATTCCTTCCATCCAAATTATGCAACTTGCGTGCTATTGTAACTTATTGTCATAATTTCTTGAATTTTCAATAATTTATTCTTCATCAAAATAAGATTTTAAAGCAACGAAGGAAGATTTTGAGGTATCACATAACACGATAAGTCATGCAGAAGTAGAAAATATTAAGGAACAAGGTGTTGCAGTCTTATTTTCGATAAAATACGAATTCTCGGACGTTGAACTTAATATTTACAGCAATTTACAGCGGCAACCTCTAAACGAATAAAGAACAAGACTTAGCATTGTGTAGGGGCTCATATGCATAAACAGAAGGGTACAAAAGAGACAGAATTGTACATTATGAAAGAACTTGTGGGCTAATTTATCTTTACCAGGTGAATACGCTGGAGAATTGCTCACATAACTTATTCTCTCAAGTTATTTAAAAATCCTCTGACTGCTCTAACGTAACAATTCTCCAGTTTCAACGTTATTTGAAAATACACGCCAATTTCAACGTGACTCGTTTCAGCATTTTTTGATAATCGAGATGCAGGGATTCGATCATAATTAGTAATGCGCACGTCGCAATATTAAACAGTGCTGAACTCTGTAATAGATTCTCTCCTTTACTAGGCACCACTAAGCAGAATAATTTCCATTTCGTACTTAATCCTCACACAGTTCCTATGATGTAATAATACAAACAACAATAAAGTCACGTTGCAGTCAATGCGATTCTCATTCGAATTTGAAGAAATTTTTTTCGTTTTCATAGTTATGTGAAACGAGCACTCGCAAGCTTGTTCAGTTGTGATCGGAGCGTTGTGTTGTTAACAAGTAAAAATTGATAGTGCAGAACAATTATTGGACTTTTTGTGCTCAATATTCTTAACTGGATTATTTTGTATTGAGTGAAACTGAGAATCAATGCTTTAATAAGTATTAATAAATAATTACAATTCGTTACGTGTCAGATTCTGAAGTGTTTCGTATTTCAGTTGCTGCATGCAAATATTTGAAGCTTTTGGAAGCTGGAGTGATAAATATTACTTAGATATTACCATTCTAAGCAGAAAAATCTTAAATTGGATGTTTTGAAGATGATTTATGACTAAAATGCTAATCTAGTGTCAGTTGAATAATACACAGTCAACAAAGGCTGATTTCGTAGAAATTCCAATTCATGGATGTTAAGTTCAAAATAAGTGAACATAAAATAAATCTAATAAAAACTGTTTAAATAGAAATTGACAACTGACGTCCAAAGAGATCACTTAACAGCTTACAAAAAAAAATTGTCAATATAGTGACTGCTGACTGTTTTCAAGTTCTAATAAAACAATAAAAAGACAAGTATCAACACAACTTAATATCTTTACAAGTGTTTGTTTAATCATATTACTTAAACTAAGAATCTGATCAGCTTAAATTGCATAACATGACAAGACGTGATATTCCATAATTAAATTAACATTCAGTAAAGTGCTCCAGAAAAACTAAAAGTGCTATTTAAGGATTGATAACTTAATTGTGATTTTCTTGTGAATAGATGATGGGCTAAAAGGAAATAAATTAATTAACAACCCACAATTTAAAAATCAAATAAAGAAGTAACATAGAAAAGTCAAAATGACTATGACAACAGGTCAATCAGCAGCTCCTTCAGTTGGAAATGTTCAGCCACAACAACAAAAAAAGGAAAAACATTTAGTGCATTGGTTTCGCAAAGGTTAGAGTCATTAGAATACTTTAGCTTCTGATTTTCCCTTAATAAATCTTATCAGAATCATAAGTCTCAAAAATGATCATTTTCATTCACGTTTTCAATTAATTCAATGATATCGGAAGGAGTGAGAAAAATCGAGAAATTAAATTGCATAGTAATGAGTAGAAGAATCTTGAAAAAATCTTTCTACTGATCTCAATTAGAATTGATAAAAATAATTCTAGATTTCTTCTATTCATCTTAGATTGATTTCATTTGACGCAAATGTGATTTTTTGGAATCAAAAAGTTTAACTTACGATTGTTCAATTTCTCCAGACTAATTTCCATTTCAATCACGGTGTAATTGATTAGTTCATTATTACGTTATGCTTCCCAGCAAGTTTAACTGATTTGTTTTTAAATTTTTAGGGCTTCGACTTCACGATAATCCTGCATTTAAAGAAGGTAGGTTGAATATTCTTCAAATTCAATGCCAATTAACTTTAACGATTCCTTTACAGGCCTTAAAAATGCAACAACATTTCGGTGTATATTCCTCGTCGATCCTTGGTTTGCCGGAAGCTCAAATGTAGGCATCAATAAGTGGAGGTAAGATTTTAATCTTTTGAACAAGCAGCACGATATCTCGTTCAACAATTTGAACTTATTAGGTTCTTAAAGATACAGAACAAACAATAGAAAATTCAAAAAACAATTTTGTTATATAAATAAAATAAGACATAAGAAAGAACAATGGTCTCGAATTCATAGAGACAACAGGCAATTTGGTGAGAGGAAATAATCATCTCACGTTTATGGCAATGTGACTTTGAATATTTTTACCCTCTTCTTTTTATTTCATTCATTGCTACATATAAACTTACTCACTTTCCTCTCGTTTACTAGCTCTTTCTGAATAGTCAGGAAATGTAGAGAGGATCAAACCTTACGCAACGTTGTTCTTTAAGGGTTGCTGCTCTAAATATGTAACAGATAATGACGTCAATTCATAAATTGGCATCATGTAATGTGATTTTATTTTGAATAGACAATTCTTTACGTCCACTTTATGCTGCGAATATTTTCATGTCATGCCGAGCTTTTAAATTGGTCGAATACCTGCTGTGATTATCAGCAATTCTATTTTCACGTTAACTATTTTATGAAGCCACAAGAGCGAAATTTTTTGGTTCATATTGAAAACTTTCAAGTGCATATGCTTTAATCAACGATTCTGTCCTGATTTTAATTCCATAATTAAGTCTATTAATAAATTTTAAAAATAATAATGAAATATTTTTTAACAGGTTTCTCCTTCAATGCTTGGAAGACCTCGATCAGAATCTTCGACATTTGAACTCACGACTCTTTGTGATAAGAGGTCAACCAGCTGAAAAACTTCCAATGCTATTCAAAAAGTGGAACACAACATGCTTAACATTTGAAGAAGATCCTGAACCCTTTTCACGTGTACGAGATCACAATATTACAGAAATGTGTAAAGAACTTAAAATTGAAGTCATAACTGCCGTGTCGCACACATTGTACAATTTAGAGAAGTAAGGATACAGACCCAATGACGTCATTTGTCATGAGCAATGAAAATTGATTTATTTTTATATTTTTAGAATCATTGAGAAGAATAATGGCAAACCTCCATTGACTTATCATCAATTTCAAGCAATCATTGCCTCAATAGATCCACCACCACATCCTGAGCCAACGATAACCGAAGAACTAATTGGAAACGCTCGTACGCCTGTAAATGAAGGTAAAAATAAGTTGTCTTATATAAGATCAAAATTCTTGAAGCCACAAAAAAAGTTTTCAAAATTTCTGCTTCTGAGCCTAAAATGGCATGTTAAGGCACGCTTTTTAAAGTTTACATTTTTAATCATAGTATTGAGGGATGTGATTTTTAAGCATGTCTGAAAACGTGATTTTTAAAGATAATGGAATTTGACTAATTTTTCATTTTAATTGACTAGATCACGATGATAAATATGGAGTTCCAACTTTAGAGGTAAGGAAGTAAAGCAATAGGCGAAACTCAATATTAAGCAAAAATATAACTTTTATCTATCCAGGAACTTGGATTTGACACGGATGGACTCAAACCTCCAGTATGGTTTGGTGGAGAGACAGAAGCTCTAGTTCGTCTCGAACGACATCTTGAGAGAAAAGCTTGGGTTGCAAGTTTCGGAAGACCAAAAATGAGTCCACAATCATTGCTTGCTAGTCAGACAGGACTCTCACCTTGCCTCAGATTTGGATGTCTATCGACACGATTATTTTATTATCAGTTAACAGACTTATATAAAAAGATTAAAAAGGCTAATCCGCCATTAAGTCTTCATGGACAACTTTTATGGCGTGAATTTTTCTATTGCTGTGCAACTAAGAATCCAAATTTTGACAAAATGGCTGGAAATCCAATTTGTGTACAAATTCCATGGGATAAAAATGCTGAAGCTCTTGCAAAATGGGCTAATGGTCAGACTGGATATCCATGGATTGATGCAATTATGCAGCAACTAAGAGAGGAAGGATGGATTCATTATTTAGCTAGACATGCTGTTGCATGCTTTTTAACAAGAGGAAATCTTTGGATTAGCTGGGAGGAGGGAATGAAAGTTTTTGAAGAATTACTACTGGATGCTGATTGGTCCGTGAATGCTGGCATGTGGCTCTGGCTAAGCTGCTCATCATTCTTTCAACAATTTTTCCATTGTTATTGTCCAGTCAAGTTTGGGAGGAAGGCTGATCCAAATGGAGATTACATTCGTCGCTATGTTCCTGCATTGAAAAATTTCCCCACAAAGTACATCCACGAGCCTTGGTACGTTATGCATTTGTTATTCATTTGAATCACGTTTGATACGATTTACAGAAAACTTAACTTGAATGACGTAAGTTAGCATAAATTGACTCAAATAGTAGATTCTTAATGTTATCCATGAGAATTTCATACATTGGATGTGAATATTGAGGACTTTGCAGAGTATTGATCATTAAAATTAAAAATCAGATTAAAAACACAAACACGAACTCTTTTGCTTGTTTACATAACCACATACGTGATACACAACGTGTCAACGGTGAAGCTCGTGGTGCTCACATCCATAAAATGCTAGCTGTCACTCATAAGAATCTTTGTATATAACATCATTAAGTAATTTAATTGTAATTATTACATTTTCATTAGGGTTGCGTCTGAAGCTATTCAAAAAGCTGCAAAATGCATAATTGGAAAAGATTATCCATTAGCGATGATAAATCATGTAACTGCCAGTAAAACAAATATGGAACGAATGAAGCAAGTATATCAACAGCTTGCTAAATATCGAAATCGTAAGTTGAACTGTCCTTATAGTTGTGATTTTATTGTTGTAACAAAAGATTAGTCTCAAATGTGTATCTGGTGCTGCTCGTTTATAGCTAGACACTTCCATGCCTAAACCTAAGTCATTTGAATACCAAAAATCTAACACAACTTCTCCTTAATTTGTAGTATGCAACCCTGATGGTGGTGGATCAGCAATATCATGTATGCTCGCCAAAGCACAAGCATCAGCACTTGCAAATGCTGAACAAATAAACAGTAGCCCATCACCAACGACAATATTAAAGTCAGTAAACAGCTCTGGAAGCTATATGTGCTCAACAACACGCTCAAATATGGAAATGCAATCACCATCACCTGTTGTTCATTATCATGAACCGAATATGATCAATCCATCGCAGTTGACACAAGATCAAAATAATATGATGCAACATCGTAATAGCAGTTTGACATGCTTAAAGGATCGACATCACAAAAATCAATTTGACTTTGATGAAAATGACGAGAACTCAAATAAACGGAATCAATATCAATATCATAATTCCTACAATAATTATACACAAAATCAACATCAGGTTATATCAGAGACACAGCAGCAAGCGGATCAACATACAATTGAATTACGAATGAATAACTTGGGTAATGAGAGACAGGATGCAGAATGAATGTAGCTTCTTCTATGTTTCGTACTTAATGTATAGTTTTTAAGGGGATGCGATTTTAGATGAGGAATATTTATTAAGGATTAAAAGATTATAAAGCCGGAAGTCGAACCAACATCTTCAAAAAAGAAATGGCTGCATATAAAACTTTAAAAATGTGTTAAAAACGAATTCGAATTCTGTGATTATTGATAAAATGTTACTAATATTTTTAATGTCATCCTGTCTTCTGGACTTCTTATCGAATTGAATCCTTTAAATGATGTTAATCAACATGTAAATTTGATTCCATGACATAAGAAAATTGAATAAAATTAAATTATTTAAAAATGATTTGAATGAATTGTTTAAGGAAAGAAGAATCTTGTTCCATTTTTAAAAGATGGTTAAATTTTTTTAAGAATGGATAAGTTGATTAAAACTTATCTTGTTGTCCATACTTCAACATTTATCGAGAAAACGAATTTATCTAGCCATCCAGCATTGAAAAAACCAAAGCTTTTAAAAAAGTTTTCACTGAAAATTTTAAAATTAAAAGCTTTTTTCATAACGGCTTTTTATAAAACTTTTTGAAAATAACCTCAAAGCTCTGTGAGAATATACAGGAAGTGCACAATGCAAGAATGTTAATCATGCAACTAAATATCGCAAACATTTGGGGGCCGTTCACTTATGACGTCCCACTTTTAGGGGGGGGAGGGGGTCTAGGATTTTGGAACAATGGAAATTTTTTTCTATAGAATTTTTGTGACAGAGGGGGGGAGGGGGTCTAAAAATCAGGTTTTTTGATGGACGTCATAAGTGAACGACCCCTTGTCGAAAAAAATAAAAATCAAGATGCTTAATTTGTTCTTAAATACATCTCAGATTAAATTAAGCACTGAAATATTATGCAATGCCTAATCGAACCATAAAATAACAAAATTTGCAAACAATACAAATAGCAAATTAATTTCCATGCTTTGTGAACTTTAATCTCTGTATACATATAAAAATTAACACCTTTATTTAGGAATTAAAAATCCAACAATTAAAAATAATTTTTACTATCTAATCACAAGCAGCTTCATAAGATGTGTCGAGTGACTTCTGATTTCAATCTATTTCAAGTTTTCTAAATGAACCTTGAACACCTTGAAGACTATATCCATTAATATTATTGTTGTTGTAGTTCTTCTCAGCTTCTATCTCATCAATAGATTTCTTTAAGGATCTAACTGATCCATTTCTAACTTGCTCTGGATACAATTCAAGATTAACGTCCATTTTATCATTTCCAATTACAGTTTGATGTCTCGCAGCTAGTTCTTGCTTAAAAGACTCAATCATATCCTTCATTGGAATAGTTCCACCGTACTCAAGTGGCAGCAGACTCTTATCGACATTTATATCCTCTAGATTCTTATTCAAGAAGACACGTTTCCTCATTTTGTCATTCATCTGCGAGAGAGCAAAGTCAACAGCAAACTTAAGTGACGGATGAACTTTTAATCCATGAATTTGCTTATGTCTTATTGGTACAATTTTCTCCAAGTTTCTGCCAATGCGATAAACTTCATGCGGTGTAAAAATTGTCAAATAATGCAGACCCATTCCTGATGAGTCAACTATGTGGATGAGTCCGTGAACTTGGACAAGTTCATCTTCCATTAATGTTTCGTATGTGAGGCCATGAAGCTTAACCATTTCAAAGTTGTGATGTTTTGAAGGATTGAAGACACCGGGACGATACATAACAATTCGACGGTTTAGGTGATCTCTTTGGGGAAGTGGGAAGATGTAGCTGAGGATATGAGACCAAAAAATAGGATCAGTTCATGAATATTTTGGGTCGAATTGGTCAATGCAGCTGTCGTACAGACAGGAATAAAGCTGAATGAGTAGTTTGGAAGTTATCAGCAACTGTAGGTCTAGTTTCAAATATAGTAGACTGAACCCTAACTTGACAAACTGTTACTATCATCAAATCTGCAGCTATTGACTCCAATTCACCAAAATTTAATAACCCAACTTACCCTAAATCAATCAGTTCCTGCATCACTGGCATCTTATAGTCAAAATTTGTAAACACCTTCATATCATCATAGACATAATGTCTCAGCACCAAATATCTCTCAATCTGTTCCTTAACCATCGGAAGTGAAAATTTCTTGCATCGCAAAAATTTCAATAAAAACGTAGAATCAAGTCTAACTGCTTTTATTCGGGGATTCTTTTCTGCCCATTCACGTAATGACTCTAAAGCATGACGTCGCACTGAGTCTGTTTCACGCAATTCATCTTCTGCTATTTTTCTCGTCTCTTCGGGCAGCGTACATACGTAATCATCAATTGGTGTTATGCTCTTTGTAAACTGTTTATGAAATATATTTTAAATATTATGTTTTTGTGATGATTAATGGAAGTGCGTAAAATATTGATTTTTGGTTTACATATGAGAAGTGATGGATGTGTCTTTAAAGTTCAATATTTTTGGATTGGGATGAATTTTAAAAAAGTGACAAGATTTATTCATAAGATGAATTGTTTTAATTTATAATGGCTTTGTGTCTATATTATCTACGGTCATTGTACTATCAAATGATATTCTTTTACTATTTTTCAATGTCTTCAGATCTAAAGAGTTTCAATATTCATGTCCTGTTCATTATTATCTTAATTTGTCTTTGCTTTAAAAAATGTTTTTTTTTTTGGAATTCTTTTTCTGACAAAATTAATCAACGGATTAAGTTGTATTTTAAGGAGCAACTATAGTATGACAAAAAATACCGATCGCAACAGTTTAAGTTTTGTAAAAGACATGACTCGAAGATCTAGACTTCTTACAATCACTTCTTTAAATATTCTTACGAACTTGAAGAACGAACAAATTTTGACTTTTGAACTAGAACAAGCATCTTGATTCGAGGTTTGTAAGCACGTAAAATGCATTTAATATTTTTAATGATAACGAGCTGTCCAGTTCCAAAAACTGTCAACAAACTGTTCTACATGTCAAAGAGCCTCCTTCAATTCATCAAAACACTGAAGATTACTATTATTATATGCTTTGCCTTGAGATCTGCCTTTACAGACGTTTTTATTAACTCAAAAAAGCTATGCCGGCGAATTTCGCGGCATTATGCGACAGATGATGAGACCCGACCTTGGCAATAATGATTGCTTGTTGATATTTTGATTAGGTAAGAAGTACCAGTTCCAAAGTTGGAAACAATCAAAAGTCAAGCACTGCTTAAACTGGCGATTAAATTAAAAGTCCATCATGATCCCATCCGACATTAAACAGTTGCAAGCACTTAAAGATCTCTGTGATGTCACAAAAACTGGAAAGCCTTAGTTTTTTGCTACTTTGTCTAGTATTTTACTATAAAGTCAGACTCAACAGTTTGAATAATAAATTAAATATTTTTATTGTTGCTTTATTTGTTTGCTGTTCGCCTTCAAAATAAAATCAGAATAATTTATTCCTTTGCAATTTTTTTATTATAAGGGAAATGCCAAATGGATGAGGCATGAGAAAGTGCAATTATTCTCAGATTATAGCAGATGAGATGATTTAAGTAAAGTGTTTTTTGGGGATTATCCAAGTCATTGTGATTATTATTATTGTACTAAGTTTATTATGTCATTGGGTTTATGGTTTCGTGCAGGATTGTGGTAATTTATTCAAGACTCGTGTCATGTCATTGTTAATCACTTGATCGAAATTCGTTTAAAATTGTCTTGTCGATAACCAGAATCAATTGTGAAGATGGATAATCATAAGGACGTTAAAATGAGTTTAAACTCCTCTAGAAGCTCATGTCAGCTATTCAATTAGTACCAAAGTAGCTTCAAAAAGGATTGCAATAAAAACATTGAAATCTGAAGAACAATTATTAAAATAGTCAAATTATGAAGTCATTGCAATCATTATTCCATCAATAACTGTTGCTTTGATTAATATCTTCACAATTTAATGGAGTGTGGCATTTAAAAAGAATTCTCAAGTTCTCAAACATCCAGAAGATTAAACATCTATCTCCATGCAGCTTATAGAACAAAAGGAATCAAGAATTCAAATAAAACTAGTGATTCGGCTGATTAAATATTTAACAACGCGTATTAATTTGATCATTTTGATGAGCATCTGCGGTGCTTTTAAGAATAGTCGGTGATTCTTATTGGGATAAATTTTTCCAATGACTCTGCACATCTTCACATTTTGAGGAGCTTTCAAATCTTGAGATGGTTTGACAAAACTTTCTATTAGTGCTGCCAAAATCAGTATTCCTTGCCAAAAAAGGTTGCAAATCTAGTCACACATAACAATTAGGTGCATCATTGCTTACAATTCAAATGTAAATTGTTTGACAATTTCGAAAGCACGTGACACAAAGGGAAATAACACTTTTCACAATATCTTCTTTATTTTTTCAGACACTTGATTTTCTTTCTTGTTGGATGTGAGTTGAAGTGTTTATAGTTCAAACTGGGAAGATCCATATGCTTATAAATTGGACCTAGTCGACAAGAACTTCACAATTGTCAGTAACAAAGAAGTGTCAGTTTTAGAAGTTTGATCAAAAACCTAAAATCTTAAGTTTAGATAAGTCTGAAGGATGCAATATCGATTGCTCATACTAAATGCAACTATGCTTGGAAGTATGTTCCTCAAAACTTAAGATTAAGGAACCGATTTTAGGTTAAAGTTCTGATTTTTTGCTCAAAGAATTTGCTTCATTATTAAAGAAGGTAAAGAAAAGGAATTATCCAGCTAGTCATAAACCTTAACAGATCCATCAAGTTTTAACACCAACTTCTTCAATAATTCATTAAGCCAGACACTCTACCTTGCTACTCATTTTTCAGCCGAGTTATTAATTTTCAAGACGCGCACAATGAATTGTCAATTTTTTTCAGCACCCGAAGTCAAGTCAAACAAAAAATAAATGAAGTATGAGATTTAACACAAAACGATAATTTTTAATTCCAAACAATTCTTTTCGCATCCGTCTCTATTCGCGGTTCAACACAAACTGAGAGTAAAAGTTAAAATAATCGTCAAAAGATTTTACACACGAAAAAAAAAAGAAGAATGTTGATTAGCTACAAACACTTTCGTACGTTTATATTCTGGAAATAAATAAAATATGAAAAAAAGTCAATTTTCATAACCGAGTTATTGAAGGAACTGACAAGCAAGGCATAAAAATACAAATTTATTTACAGCTTCCATTGAATTTTCATAGACATTTAAATGCAATAAAATAAATTCGTTGACATTGAAAATGAAATGTGCATGCTTACGTGACGTCATTACTTAGTCTGAAAGATAGAAAAGGAAGAAAAAAGTGCTGCTACTGTTCGAGAAATAAAAAAAGTTGTTGAGTTCCTTATTGTTGGTATGGGGTCGTTCACTTATGACGTCCAAAATAAACGGTCATTTTTCAAAATAGAACAATTGATTTCCAGGAATTTCTATTGTTTTTTTCTTGTTGATCCCCCCCTGGACGTCATAAGTGAACGGCCCCTAATAAGTTTAATTAATTTGCATTTATTGGGAAGGTATGGCACCCTATTGACTTGGTTGCTCAAGATAGCTTCTTCCAGATTCCAAATAATGTCCATCATTTTTGAATGACGTTCAACTATGAATGACACTCAATATATTATCAATGGATTAATTGCCATAATAAAAGTTGATTGACAAGACTTTGTATTTATTCGGCGAAATTGAACCGGTTAGGTTAATTATTGAAATATCTTTGATCAAGGTCACTTATTTACGTAGGTCTGAATGATTATTTAATTTTGAATGTCAAACCTTTCTCAATTGTATTTAATTTGTTCCAAATACATCAGAACAAATTTTATTTTGCATGCAATTAATAGCTAGAACCATAACAAATTAAAAATTCAGGTTTGATACTTCTCTAATGATACCGGGAATTTCCAACAGGGTTTAGGTTTTGCAAGAGCATCATCGGCAGACTTCATAGGATTTTATCTCATCAATTGTATGCCTAAACGTTTGAAGATTGTGGTTTATCTGTTATGCTCAAGGTAAAGTTGAGTGTTGCGTGTAGTACGAGTCAATACCGATGATCTTGATTTCCATATTTTTGCGTAATGATATTCGTAATATAATTTTTCATATTTGTCTGTTTATGGTTGTTAAAAGCTGTTTTAAAACGACACAAGATCCGCTCCAACATGAGGAGTCATAGATTCCTTTACTTACTAGTAAAGAAACTCCAAAAAAGTTAATTACTTATCATGCTTAAAGAGGCATCATGCTAGTTATTTAAATTAAATTTTTTTTAATTGCTGAAAAAATATGGCGATAAGAGGTATGTTAAAGAATAACAATTAGGTAATTTATGCTATGCTTGAGACACATATTGTTACTGTAATTAAAAGGCAGTCTTTGGTAACCTATGTGGATTAAAAAATTTATTTTCAAACTGATACTTATTCCTTACTTTCCCCATTTGAGTCTCAGAAACTCATAAATCAAAGATGTATTAGAACTTTACTCAAATTGGAAGTAATGACTAGCAAGGATGAGACAAATGACTTGATTCAATTCATAGAGAGCCATCAATCATAAAAGGTTAAACAGACCATTGTCGCTTGCCATATCTCTTACATACTTAGGCTTGTGCTTTGTTTGTATATTCATAAAAAAATTAATATTTCCACCAAAGGTTTGTGTGTGCATGCAAACCTTTAGATAACTATATAAGTGGATATAAGTAAATAGTTTTTAAGTGTCAGACTTGCGAAAACAATGAAGCAAGTCTTGTTTTCATGGACAGGCATTGATGATGATCAGGATTGACTGTGATTGAGTTCATTTCTGTAGACTGCTGATCAGAGCTACTGAAAGATTTCCAAATATTTGTTGGTGTTGATTCACTTTAAGATGTATGAGCTAATGACACTAATCCTTAAAATTTAATCATTGAATGAAATAAACCATGAATATTTAACTGACATCTTAAAATACTTTATTACTGATTCATATTCCCAAAATAAGCCATTAATATAACTGCAAAATATTTATCCACGATTTCCTCGAATTCCATTGATAGCGTTCATCAATCTATTTGGTGCTTGTGTTGTTGAACCTCCTTGACCTGGAACTGGTGGTACTGTTGCCATTCCAGTATCAACTGGGACTGTTCCATTGGTGTTTGGGACTTCTGGAGTTGCAGGAACTTGTGTATTGTTGCCAGCTGGTGTTTCTGGGAGAGCTGGAACTGTTTGATTCACTGGTAAAGCTGGAACTTCAACATTTGGCAATTGAGCAACAGCAAAGGCTGTGAATAAGGCAGCAAGGATGAATTCTTTAATGAAAACCATTTTTATGGATTTTTTATAGTTTTTTAAATGTTTCGACTTAAAGAAGGTTGTAAAATGTTTGATGTCTTCTCCGTTGCATTCCTGACTTTTTATACAAAAACTAAAAGTTCTGAAATTGCAATATAATTTTTTTTAAAACTATCAGAAGTAATTAGCAGTAAAGACTTTCGATAAGTAAAATTATGGGTTTTATTGAACATGAATGTTATCAAATAATGACAGAAATTAAAACGTTTAAATTTGCATGCCCAAAGGCATAAGTCACATTCTATGTTAATTCTTTCACCCACAAATTTGATTAATTCATAAATATATGAGTAAATTAACAGTCAAGTCATGTCTAATTTAAATTATGAAATATAAGAATTTATGAGCTTGTAGAAAATTTAGAACTAATCGAAAGCTTTTTGTCTAGCGTCCATAAGCTCTCTTAATATGATCAGAAGCTTTCTCAGCAATCATCACAACTGGTGCATTCGTATTTCCTGATGTAACTGCTGGCATGATAGATGCATCGACTACTCTTACGTTCTCAATTCCATGAACTCTAAGCTCATGGTCAACAACAGCTAATGGATCACGTGCTGGTCCCATTTTACAACTTCCTGCTTGATGATTCTCAGCTCCAGTGTTGTGGCGGACAGCACATTCCCAATAATCCTAAAAAGTCAATAATTGCGATCATTAATAAAATATAAACTTTAATCAAAGTTGATCTAACCCGAGCAGCACAGATTGACATTGGATGTCATAAGGTTGATCTATATAACCATTATTACTGTCATGTGCTCGGATTTGAACAAATCTTAGCTTAATATTCCAATCATAACTTCCAACAAACCTGAGTTCCAAACGGAATATTTTTACAAGCAGCAACTGGAGTTTTGTCAAGTTCAATTCCATAAGCCTTCAATGCTGATGTCTCAGCCAGCTTGATTGCAAATCTGATTCCCTCAACTAAAGCTTTGATGTCTTGTTCCTCATCGAGGTAGTTTGCAAAGATTTTTGGTGCTTCCAGTGGATCATTTGAGTTTAATGTGATGTATCCACGACTTCTTGGATGAAGATATGCAGGGAAAATCTGAATTGACCTTGAGTAGTTGCTGTTGAGCTCTCCAACTTGTCCACTGATGGCACAGTCAGCTAAGAATCCACCAAAGTAGTATTGAATGTCAGGCTCGTCAGGCTTTTCAGCATATTTCGTGGCAACTAAAAATACAGTCAGAGAATTAACTTGGTATTCTTGAATAATTTAATATGTACTTACTCTTTCCTGTCACGGACGACACTCCAGTTCCACTCATCAATCCATCTCTAAAGAGTAAATATTCCATGGCTGTAGCCCAATTAAGAGGTCTTGTGTCAGTGTCATTGATGAAGAAATTAATGAAATATGCGACGTGATTGTGGAGATTTTTACCAACACCCGGTAACTCATGAACGACTTTGATTCCAACACGTTCCAATTCATCTCGAGGTCCAACGCCACTCAACAATAAAACTTGAGGTGAGTTGACAGCTCCACCGGAAACAATTACTTCCTTTCTCATATTTATGCGTCTTCTGAATCCGTCAGCTTGAACAATTTCAACTCCAGTTGCTTTTTTCGTTCTTGGATCAATGAGAATTTTAGAGGCTGTTGTGTTGACAAGAACGTGAAGATTTGGTCGTTTTGCAGCAGGTCTTAAGAATGCTCTTGCCATACTATATCGAATACCATTTTTATTGTTTGTATGAGCAATCATGAAGCCTGTATTGTTTGCACCATTCAAGTCTGTTGGCTTATATCCCATTTCTTCAGCAGCTTGTAAAATTGCTTTTGAAATTGGTGGACTATAAGGGAATCTATTAACTGGCAATAATCCACCTTTACTATGATATTCAGGATCGACTTCATCCATGTGCCCATTATCCTCAGACTTCTTAAAGTACGGCAATACATCACTATATTTCCAACCAGGATTTCCCTTTGCCTCCCAATCATTATAATCTGCTGGATTTCCACGAATATACATCATACCATTTACCACCGAGGTTCCACCTAACACCTGCAATTTTAATAAATTAAAAATTCTCGTTGAATATAATAAACTTTTCGAGTAGCTGCTAGCTTCCGACTTTGAAAATTTATGTTTCTTTCCCAGAGAATGGCAATGAATCTATTTTTAACATGAAGATTAACACAGAAGATTTGAACTGAAAACATTGTTGTTATTGAGGAGTGCGATCAGTAAAAAAATTATGTGTTCAGTGAAGAACGGGTGTGTTCAGTGAAGCAATGAGTTCAGTAAAATAAATTATAATCTTTGTTGACATTTCGCAATTTCCTCGATTAATTCTGCAATTTGGTATGCTTTTTAAGCTGATTATTCAAAGAAAGAAACTAAGTCTATAAGATACAACTTTTAAGAAGCTAAACTTGCAATAAATTCACGTTTTTCTCATAAAATTAACTTTTATAGTTTTTCTAAGACATGTTTAGACAGTTTTAACGAAAGTAGAACAATAGAGCAAAAAGTTAACGATTCATAAGTCATGAAGTAGCAGTAATAGATGCAAACAAATTTTATACCTTTCCACGTGGCCAATAGCATCTTTTCTCAGGCGACGATAAACAAGCACCTTTCTCCGGTTCAGTATGATATTTATAGTCAATGTCACTTCCTAGATAATTTAAGAACATGCTGGGAATTTGGGCGCCAGTCGGTTCATCGGGTCCTGTGAATTTTCATACAAAAAAAAAAAGATACAGTATAATGCATAATTAAATGTGCTGTGAATACGTATGGAATGAGAGATTTAAATAAAACAATTAAAGTTCACAAGAGCAGTCATAATCATAAAGCGGCAACATAAATTCACACATTTGTGTATCCACAAATGCACAGACGAGAAAAAAATAATAATAATAAAATTAGAAAGCATCCCGATCAGCACACATAGAAAAATCTTGTACTTGGCCGATAAGCGAATGATAAAAAATCATTTTGGATATGACTACGAAGTAGCTGTCAAGTAGTTCTAACCATAAAACATTTCAATGTGTGTCGATCGGGCTTTATCATGGAGAGAAGAAAAAACGGAGAGAAACGAGCCAAAAAGAAGAAGAAGAAAAAAATCAGAAGCTGAATGGAGGCAGCATAAAAACAATTAAATTCTGCCATTCCAAATAATTCATACTCTGCTAACAGCTAACACATAATTAGACATTGAATGAATAAAAAGAATTAATTATTCATGCATTCGAGTGCAAATTCATACATAAATTTTCAATTGTCAACACTTTTTAAGTGTTTGTTTGTCTAAGCAAATGGAAATGAAGTGGAACAAAAAAGATTTTTGTTTGGAATTAGCAATGACAATGTCAACAAGACTGATTTTGACTAAAACTTCTATTCACAATTGAAGACCGTAAATCATTAACATTTCAAATGTAACCCTATTGATGGACGTCGAGCTACCTACTAACCCTGTTTATTTTACAGCATAACAGCATTAAATTAAATTGACAATAGAAAGGTAGAAGGTAAAGACATATTGAGTCAAAAATTTGCAATGCAACAATCATTGGCGTGACCCTGTAACGAATTTTTGTACTCCATTCAACGATTTTATGCTCTTCTGTGAGCATGCACAAAAAAATAGACTATGTAGCACTCAAAAAAAAAGTAAGCATGAATTGAATTCATAATTTGCTCGGTCACGAATCAATTTTGTAATACAATATTTTAGTCAAAAAAAAAGTTGAATTTTCATTAAATGAAGATGTGAAAAAATCTCACGGAATAATTTTTCATTTCATTTATTAATTCAAAGCAGTTTAGTCTTTATGATTTAGAGAATTCCGCGAGCACTTCATTTTCCAGCTACGAATGATGGATGAGAAATAATTACTTGATGTAAATTGAAGAAACAAACGTGTTGAACGAAAAAAATGGAAAACGCAAAATGCGTGCAATCTTCATTTAAATGCAAAAGACCTTTTGTGTTCATTTGTATAAAAAACAGTAGCAATAAAGCAATTTTAATGAAATTGAAAGTAATAAATTATAATAGAGGTATTAAAGGGACCATAACTGTCAGATTGCTGACGGCATTACAATGTTTCAAGCTATTATGAAGCTCTAATCGTTGAAGCAGTGTATTAGGCTGAAAATTGTTTCCCGCCAAAAAATGTAAATAGAGATTTATTGTGTACATTGAAGATTTGCAAGTTTTCGAGATTTTGATGATAAAATCTGATGTAAAGGTTTTTGCTCACTTTTTTTAAGCAGTTTGCAATTATTAAACGCACTTAATTCTATAAATTTAAGGTAAAATTAGCGAATTAAAACTTGAAGTGAATTAAAAATAGGGGTTGAAACTATATTTTTCAAGGGGATTCAAACTCTGTATTTCAAGGGGATTCAAACTATGGATTGTCAAAGTTTATTAGATTCAAATGCAAAATTTAAGAAAAATAAGAAAAAGTTTCATTAATAATTCAAAACTTAAAGTAAACTTCCTTTGCCCCAAAACAATGCATTAAACAAAAATATACTTTCAAAAACATTAAAAATTTATTGAATTTATCGCAAAGTTATTCAATTATTGAAAATTCCAGTGATAATCAATAATCTAATTCCCAATAATAATAATGATTGTTGATTTTTCTGCATTGTTCATTAAATAACCTCAGAAAATTAAAGCATTTGTACTTCTTTACGATTTAAAGAACGCGGATTGTAACTTTTTTTTTATCGCATTACATTTCATACTGCAATTGTGCAATGAATACATTTTAGCCGCCTCAATGAGCACTAGCTTACCTGCTTCAATAAGAAGAACTTTCCAATCGGATACTTCAGATAATCGCGATGCCTATGTAACGAAATATGCGAAACAAAAGATAAAAAAAAGATTGTTGAATTAAAAAGAAGGCAAAAAGTTCATTCATTTAGACACACAAAAGAAAAAAGTGCTTACAACTACACTGCCTCCTGATCCACCTCCAATAATAATAAAATCATAAGTATTGTCGATTTCCTGGGTGAGTTTGGGCTTTGGACGATTGCATGGATCTTCGAGATCACACTGAGATCTAATAAAGACTTCTAGGAGTCCCATGAAAAGCATGAATGGTCCACCTCCACATAATGATGATAATGTTGGACCAGTCGATGCGGCGCTAATTGGACAGTCACACGTCACCATCTTTCACCTGCAAAAATATTGAAATAAGTTCTTTTTGTCTTGTTTTTTAAAAATGAAAGGTATGGAAACAAGACTTTCATCTCACGACTTTTCTTCAATTGCATTTTCAAATATGTCATGACATTAACTTTGTACAGCATCGTGATTAGATTTGCAAAATGATATTTTTTACTTCTTCCTTTTCTGATTAAATAAGTAACAATTTTACAGTGCGACAATTGTTGTCTACGATAATGATTTTATACTTTGTAAATTGGTATCTTTCTCAAACTCTCCTTTGGTTCAGACACGGGTCAAATGATTTCTTATTGAGCAATGATGATTAATTTAATAGAATTGGCGTGTAATTGTTATGGATTTGTAAGAGAAGAAGTAGCTGGTTGAGGAATTTGAGCAATATTAGATTTAATCAGGTTTGATTTGTAGTTTGAGAATTGAATTTTGAGGTTGGAATTAAGGTTTTTTCGGTTGGAGCAGTAAACATTTAGAATGAAGGTTTTAAATTTGGCAATTTAAGTCGATGGCAAACTTTTGTCAAGTTCATCAATCTTAAAGAATTTATACTAACTTAGTTTAAACATAAACCAAAACTTTATTAACAAAAAAATCACAATTTAAAACTTTATCAACCAAAAATATCATAATAATCTTCAGTAGCCTCTTCTTCTTCTTCTTTATATTCATACTCAAACGGAGGAATCGTTGGCATGTTATCAATGAAACTTGTTGCATTCTGCATCATTGTCGCAAATTCTTTCATCTTGTCCACGAATTCCATTTGAGAGTAAGCAAAAGCAACAAAAATTGCAACTATAACAAATTTAAACAACATTTTCACAACAGAAGTGCGAATTTTACGTTCAATTGGATTTTTATGAGTTTAACAAGCTAGTTATATCCACTTTATACTATCGTTTACGGCCGTTTAGGAAATAATGGCACTAAAGCTAGCTTTTTATTGCTTACGCAGATTGCACTTAATAATTCAATTAGCATTTTTTCCCTTACATTTGAATTTCTGCAATTTGATAAGAAATATTGTACATTTTAATTAATTTTATGTAAGTTGTCAGCTAGTTGCTACTTAGGGTCGAAGACAAATGAGGTTTGTCAATAGCTTTTAATAACTTTCTAGCACTGACTTTAATTGAAATTCGATAGTAAATTTAAGTATTCTTTGTTCAAAAAATTATATCTTTATTAGCACAAATTCCACCAAAAATTAACAATCCAATTCTTTCTTTGTCATCTACAAATTATCAGGATATTCAATAGTATCTATTGATTCAGTAGTTGTTCTTTGTAGTCTATCCTTCATATGAGGGAACACATGCATCATGTCTCTCCAGGTTTCTTCATCGTCAAGTTGAGCGTAAACAAGTGCGACGAAAATTGTTACAATTATCAAAAGTTTCAACAACATTTTTCTCAGATTCTCTGGCTTATTTTTGTGTTAAAATATTCTTTTATTGCACTTCTTTAGATACTTTATGAGTAAATGACAAATTTCGTTCCTATTTATATTGTTTTAGACAGGAAGAATTATGACAATTTCAATTAACTTTCTTCCTTCATTTGGAATTCAGGTATTTGATTAAAAATTATAAAAAGTTGCTAATTAATTACATAATTAAGTTAAGTGATTTGACTTGGTGAATACTTTATGAATGTTACGGATTGGGACATTTTTAAATGTTCTTCATACTTTTTGATCCCTAACCTAATATTTTAATCAATTTGTCTTATGAAATCTTCAAAATCGAAGTGAGACTTCTCAAAATCTCCTTTTTAAGAATTCAAATATCTCGAAAATGTAAGCAACAAGTTATGTTAAGTTAAGTTCAAAGAATTGAACATCTTGAATAAAAATTTATGTTAAATGTCTAGACACAATTGGGAAATCATTGGAAATTCGATGACAGAAAATTTCAGAGAACTTGTATCATGATTCTGGTGTTTGATTAATTGAGGTATATTGTTCATAATTCCTCCTTTCCTAGTCATGTCTGAACTAAGCATTCCCTTAAGTATAGAAGAATGTTTGATTTTTCTTTACAAATTATTTAAGTGAAATCTGACGAATCTAAACTGAATTTGATTTCAAAACTTAGTTTGAGATTTCTTTATAGGCTTTTTTTGATTACTTCCGTTCTTGTGCTAAAACCCAGACAACTTTCATGAACCAATAAAAATTAAAAAATATCTCAAAATTATGCTTGACAAAATTTTTTTCAAATTTTATTTCTTTTTAATTCGGATTAGTCAGTGATTGAAAAAATATTTAAACTTAATTCTATCATTTAGGTTTGCAAGAATTGAATGCAGATGATAGGAAAATCGATGCTGCTGTATTGATGTTGAATTCCTCCTTAAACCTTAGCTTTCGATCCATCAATTAATAAGCTTCCGCAGCTGGTGCTCCAGTAGTAGCACCTTCACCTGCTCCTGGTAATGGAAGTCCAGCTGGAATTGGAAGTGAACCTGTCAAAGCACCAAAGTCTGGGAGTTGAGCTGCAGCGAAGGCCAAGATGACGAAAAGGATCAAGAATCTTAAGATTGCCATTTTAGTTTTGTTTTGTTGGTTTTGTTGTTTTACTTTAAATGTTGAATTGAATTATGATGCCTTACAGAACTTTTCAGTTCGCTTTTATACTAAATTTTGAAAAATTTCCTTTCAGCTTATTTAACTTTAACTTTAAAAAACATCCGGAATGCATTAAATTGTTAAATTTATGAGCAATAAAGAGTTTCCTATTTCTACGAATTAAATTTCTTTCACGCACCACTAAAATGAGGGTCATAAAATAAATTTGCATGGATATGACATTTTGTTCTATTTTAATATCATGCTGGAAACATTTTCTACGAATGTCAATGGAAATGAATTTGTAAGTTGGACAATTTTTTTTTCATTTAATTAAGACTTAAATTTTCATCACAAAAGACACAACCAAGCAGCATAATTAATCATTTATATTACGGTAGTAAGAATACAGCACTTTACTAATTTAAAACTGGTTGGATAATTGCACAGAAAACATTCTCTCAACGCATTGTTTCTGTATTGTCGTGAAAGAAATCTTATTGTGGATTATTTAACTGTCCACAAAAATCTTGAATGTCAATGTCAAAAGCTTTAACTTTGTAAGCATTCTCTCGAATTGTTATTGATTGTTAATTTGCTACTTTAACATCAATATAGAATTTCAATTTTCCCAACATTCATGACAACAGCAAAAGTTTATCTTCTTTCTCCATCTTCGTAAAGTTCATTGACCAATCTCTGAGAAACAGATGTGTATGCAGAATGTTATCACGTAGTAGGATAGAATAACAATAATAACAATTTTTGTTAAGCTCTTTAGAGTATTTTTTGTGTATAAAGAAAAGTTTTTGGACATACGTGTTGTTCCTTAGCATTTAAATGTTGCTAGAGATGAAAATCTACGTTTTATAGCTTCTTTAAATACTTTGAAACTTTACAATAATTAAAATTTCTACTTTTCTGCTTCAAATGAATAGATCTAGTCTAGTAAAAGTCATGAAACATAATTCAAAATGAATAAACCACAAAAAATAAAATTTTAAAAGTCTGTTAAATCTTCAAAAATCTATAAATCGCTCCATAATCATCATATCTCATACAGTCTTTACTTATTTAATTTCCAATAATCCACAAAAAAAATTTGCAACAGGTTTTCTACTTGCATATCACATTTTATTTTTCGGTCCAAGAAACAAGAATTGAGAGAGAAATTGAGCCATAAAATTTGTGATTTTATACTAAAACATGTGCTGCCGTTTGAATGACATGAAAAAGAGCCACACAATGACAATCTTTTGTGTTTAATGACATTCCAATAAAATTTTTGTGCAATAAATTTAGTGGCTTTGTGGCACAAAATTTCTCATTGCGTATCCTTTTTTAATGCGGCTGTGAAAATAGAGATGAGGCTACAATGGCATGAGACTTGTGACAAGGTTAGAACATTATTACGGTTGCCGTTTGGTTTTGTATAACATAGCATTTATTGGTTTTCAAGAACTATATGTGTATGGCTTTGTAGTGTTAATGGCCTTAATAAACAAGAAAATCGAGAATTCTGTGGGAATTTGCATCGATTTAATGGAAGAAGGGAAATAACTTTCGTTATGCATGATGCGAAATGAATCATTTGATGTATTTGCGAGTCATTTACCTTTCGATGATGTTGCTCACTTTATATTAATCACTTTTTCTATTTTCTTTGGCAATGTTAACATGAATAATTGCTAAAGTTTGAGAACTATTATTTTTACGAGTTTGAGTTCACCTTAAGAATGAGCCGAAAAGACCCAAAACTATTCGCATCAAAAGTGTGTCCAGTAAAAAAGATGCAAAAATATTCGCATCAAAAGTGTGTTCAGTAAAAAAGATGCAAAAATATTCGCATCAAAAGTGTGTTTAGTAAAAAAAGATGCAATAATAATCGCATCAAAAGTGTGTTTAGTAAAAAAGATGCGAAATTTTTTACTTCAAAAATGCATTTTTTGCAATGCAAAAGCTAACCTATTGGCAAACATAAGTTCGAAATTAAGCAGTCATCAATTTGTCAAAATATGACTGTCATATCAAGATTGCTTAAGTTAATTGCAAGCAAATAAAATTTGAATCATTTAGCTCTTAACTTTCTTCAAAATCTCATCAACATAGCGCCTCAGAGTATGTACATCTCAATTTACAGCCAATTGGGTAGGCCTTTCAATCATTCGAATGGTATAAAAGCGATAATTTCACGAAAAGGTTAAAAGCGAACACTTTTTTTTCATCTGTTGATCAATAAATAAAAAATTCAATCCATGAATGAACGAGTGAGTGAGTGAAAGACTGTAAATCACAAGTGAGTAATCATTGTCGTTTCATCACTTTTTGATGACCTTTTTGTTTATTTTTTGGTTTTTTTTGTTTAATAATGTTCTGATTGGGAATTTACAATCGCATATCGATGGGTTTTTTTTATTGTCTGTAAGCATTATCGAGGATGTTAAACAATTCCTAATACTCCCATGAAATCGAAAATTACTGATAACAAGTTTGTATTAATTTGTTTTTTCTGTTTGGATTTATGGATGAACAATTGTTTTTGAAGTGTGTGACCAATGATAAGTTTTATTTGATTTAAGAGGTGAACTTTAGTTCTAGGATATTTTGACATTTAATCGTGTATTTCGACTTTAGAAGTCATGAAGTAAGCATTAGAATATTCTCTTCAGACTATATTTCCTGTTTGATTTGTAAAAGTCATTAAAAATTCAAAAGAATCTTTCAAAATCAGGTCCATTCCACAAAATGGATAATTAAACAAACTTAAATCTTAAAAGAAATTCCAAATCCAACAGAAACACCACACAACATCATGGCTTCACAAAATTACATTTTGATATCATCGTTTGCCTCCCAAATTATTCAAAAGCCAACAATATTTACCCAAGGGCATAATTACCTTAAATGAGCATTAAATTCTTTTATTAAATAAATTTTTTTATTGCTATAATTTCAACTTTAGTGCTTATTATTTTATTATGTCAAATAAGTTGCAAAACAGTAATAATGGCAAGTCCAATCGTCTTCAACCGAAACGAGTCGAAGCAATAATGCTATTTGTTATTATTATAGCTTCAAAACCTTTCTAATATCATTGATCCATTTTAGAGTGACTCAATAAACATCAAATTAATAAAAAAAAATATAGAGAATCATTATTGTTCACAGTTGGAAGTAGCGAAGATGCAAGAGACTGAGTATTTGAAATTGCAAGAGACCAATTCTAAGCATAGCATAATAAGATGAAGTAACAATTGAATTTCGCAAGATCACTTCTTTTCCCTTTTGGACTGTTTTTAATATTGCGACTTTTTTTTGTACAATATTGCTGATAAACTTTAGCACCTTTGAGACTTTTTTCATTTTTACTTCCAATCAGTATTTTTTTTTTCATTATCACTAATTCAATGGCAATTCATTACCTTTTGTGCAAATCTTATGCAAATTTTTCGATTATTCTCAACTTAACAGAGATTTTTTTTTTCAATTAGAAATAATTCACTCTATGGCCTTATTTTAAAACACAAAAAAAACACTAATGTCTTGTGGGAAAAATTGAATTTTTCACTAAGCACTTCACTAAAGACCTTTTTGTCTGTGCCTCTAAACCGATCTTATTTTACTTTACTTCGAGTCTATTCAACGGAGGCTTACGCTTGACTGAGAGTACTCTTTTGAGCTTCATCATACTTTATAATCTTTTTCTCATTATAAACATAATAGCACTCCGCTCAGGAGTAAAAAAACATTTTTTTTTTCTGAGATTCATTTTTCTTTGCAAAACACTCAAAACTTAAATAAAGAAGAAAGTAAAGAGATATAAACCCACGTAACCAAAATCCCATAGATGGACGATACATGTATTACGCGAATATATTCCATGTATAGTCCACGCGTATCATCCATGGATGATACATGGAACGATATTGTCCTATGGAGATGGATGATTTCATGGACGATTTGTGGACGTTCCATGTATAGTACATTGGGTAATACAAATGTACTACTTTATGTGTTTTTAATGGATTGATGCACCTGAAAAAAATATTGCTTAAATTTTATTAATTAATTCATATTATTGTATATATATCCTTTACACTATTTACTTTACTACTCTTTATTAATTTAAAAATTTGCATAAAGTTATGCTAACAACACTCAAACATAAATTAAACTACAAAAAAACAGCTGGATTTCTAAAAAATAGAGAAATAAAAAAATGATTAAAATCCTGAAAATTAAAATTAAAAAATACTTACAATACCTATAAATAATGAAAAGAAAAGGGAATGATAATTAAATGATTTTAAGATGTCTAAATCATCTCAAGTTTTTGTAAATTTTCAATATTAAAAACTCATTTTTTACTTACCTTAAACATAACTTTATGACTTATTACACATTCTTTACCATTTTTTTCGTCAATTCATCACCATTTAAACATTAAATTACTTTTTAAATTAATTTTTCACTTCATATTATTTTTTCTAAAACACATTTCACAATGTAAACAAACAAGAAAAAATACAAAAGTGTTTTTAATTGTCCGAAGGACCAGATTTTGAAAATATTACATAGATGTATTACACATGGACTATACATGGAAGAACCATTTATGTAGTACAAAAGTAATACACAATGTACTATTTTGTGGAAAGTACATAAATCTTCCATCGATGTCAATGGAAAATGTATGGAATACTTTGGTTACGTGGGAAAGAGACTTTTTTTTTGGTTGTTGTTGTTTATGGATGGAAGCTTATACTCAATTTTTTTGTTTTGTTTGGAGATTATCAGGCTCGTGTGTTGACAAAACTTTTGACTTAATTTGAATTTCAGATCAAATTTAAATTTTCGATTATCTTGAAAAATTAATTTCTTCTTTCTTTTTGTTGAAGTTCAGCGAATTTTGTTGATGCTTGGGGGTGAATGCTTTTGAAAATTTGAGAATAAAATTGAATTTGCGTCTTAATCAGATAGTGCAGATAGTTTGATTTTTTGCCTGCAAACATGACTTAATGACACCTTCAAATCTTGTTCCATATTGTTGCTAACATGGCGAGGTAACTAGTCCCTGGTAAAAACATTGTCTCTTGATAAGTTGACTAGTTATCACTCAAGTTGGTGTCGGATTAAAGTCAAAAGCAGAGTTGCGATACAGGTCGCTTGTCACAGGCATAGGTGACAGATCTATCGCAGATATTGTCTGTTGACACGCAGTTCCTGTGGCAGGCAATATTTTTTTTGTTTGTCACAGGTACAGATCTGTCAAATCTGCCCCCAGATATAACAGTGAAATAATCTGTGCCTGACACATCGCTCTGGTTATAAATCACTTGGAAATTATTTGATAGTCATAAAATTTCAAAACTGTTAATTTTTTTTCACTAAGAATCAGCAGGTAAGCATTAAAATTTTTTTAGCTGCAGACATTGAGATCAAAGATGTTCTTTCTTTCATACAGTCAAGAAATTCCCACACGATGCTAATTTGACTGCAGAGTCATTGTATCTTTAATATCTTTTTTATTCATAATCCTCTTTCTGTTAACGATTATGATGACGATTCCTGTTGAGTATTTCCTTAAAAATATTTGATGCAGAAAAGACAGCTGGAAGTTGTCATTAAGTTGTTATCGTGAGTTGTGGATTTGTGGAATTGTGTTTGGCACAATTTATTGTTGAAATTTGTAGAAAATATTATTTTTGATTGATTTTCAGGTTCACATAAATAACCTTGATGGAATCTTTAGTGGCCATGATTAACGCATGGATTATGCTTAGTGTCACCATTTTTACAGTATGAACCGAGTTTAGACTTCAGTCTTTTTAAACTAGCTATCAACCACCATGTACACACAAAACTTCAAAACCGCAGCTATAGCAACAAACGCACATAGTAAAGCCTTTTAATTAAATTAAAGTCTGAATAAACACTAACAAGAGTTAAATTCATTTATCACTTTTTGTTCCAATTTTTCAAATAAAAATTATGACTTCCAATTTTTTTCACAGCCATATCCATTATTATTGAGTTTAAAGTTGAAATTTGATTGATAGCAATTGCTGGTTTTGGTCTCATGAATATTTATCCAGCTGTTGAATTTTCGATGATGTGTCCTGTCGTTGTTCTATTTATAAGTTGTTATTTAATTTTGAGAAATTTTTAAAGAATTGACTGGATTTGTAGAATTTAAGATTAAAATTGTTAAGGGTATATTTAAAACATCCAGTCATAAAGGATAATTACATAATTTAAATCAATAAAAGACGCGGCTGTGTAGCTCTTTTGTGTCACTTTATTCTATTGTCTCTACTCATGGCATTTTTCTGTGTTATGAACAACTGAATGAATCCTGAAATTTACTAATTCCATTCTATTAAAAACTACGTATTTGTCATGAAAATATTAAACAATACAAATCCAAAGAAAAAGGCCAAGTCGAAAATTTTTACGGTAAAAACTTTTCATCGCTTCCAAGTGGCTGAAAAATTCATTAAAAAAAATTTAAATTCCTTTCAATAAAAAGACTTTTTTCATTAAAGACTCGCTCAATTTTAAAGCTGAATTCTAAACAAACAGTTCTGGTCCGCAATCATAGTGAGAGCCTTAAAATGGATTATTTTGTCATTCACAAGAGATTTGCGAAATTTATTTCATTTTTACCACTCGAATTGAGCTTCATGCCGGAAAAATATAAAGTTCTAAAATACATCATCAACGCTCTGTTCTTCATATTTTGGCATGTAGTTGTTCTACATCTCTTTATTCTCCAAATGAAGACATTCCACATACATTTGGATGAGAATCTGGACGAAACAATAAATTATCTGATGACGGGTAGCATTTATGGCTACGGATATTTCATTTTATGCTACATGCAAATTCATTCAATTAAATTTTTAAAGCTAATTGACTTTGCCAACAAAAACTTTCGTAAGCGATCGGCGAAAGGTAGGAAAAAGCTTGAAAAAAATTTCTATGATAATATTTTTGTAATCCAGTTTGCATAACATTAAGGCTTGACGTTCATCAGTGTCGACGAAAGCGTTCAAACTTCAAGACAATTTATTATCATATGGAATGTGGCATGTCTCATCGGTGAGGAGCTTAACATTCTATCGCATTTCATAATATTCTGAATTATTAATTCCTTTTTAACAGGAACATACGGTTGGATTATTTATCCCATTGTAGCGATGCGGTGGATGCTTCCATTTGATATTTGGTATCCGTTTAATGTGAGAGCTTTTGGGGGCTTTTCAATTGCGTACATATTTCAAATATTTGGCCAAACTTATGTTGGATTAGGTGAGTAAGTTAAGATGTTTCTGTGAATTTAAGTGCTTTTTTTGAATTTTGAAAAACCGTTAAAAATTTTAAAATTTTAAAAATTTGGTAAAGATTAGATGATCATTAACTTTAGTGTAATTAACAAATAATTACAATGAATTTCCAAATAGAAAGCATTTATCATTTAACGGTTTTTTGAAATTCAAATTTTACAACGGCTAGACAAAATTTGAAATTATAGAGGTAATGTTGAAATTATAGAGGTAAAATAAAATTTGGGCAGGTTACACTGAAAACAAAATAAAAATCATTAATTATAGTATAATTACATGGTTTGAAGACTTTTAACCACTCGATGGACCAATAAATCGATAGTACCGGAGCTAATAAAATAGACCCGAGATCTCTACGATGCCTGGTTAAAAAGTTTTTCTTCGCCCGAGCAGCCGAACAAAGTGTATTATTAAGCTACCTTTTAGAAACAAGTTTCAAAAATGCGCTTAAAACTTTAAAATTGTCAGCTATTTCAAAAAATAAAGTATCCCATAACAATTCCCAACAAACACAAAATCTGACAAGAAATTTCATTCTGTAAGTCAAAAATGTCAAAACTTTTTCTTGATTGATGAATGGGTCAGTGAGAAAAAGTTCAACATGATGAAAAGAAAATTACTTTTTGGCATGAAAACTTTCTTTAAAATATTTTATTTTGAACACAGTCATTATAGTAAGGTTAGAACTTAGTAGAAACTTTCGAAGGGACAAATTCCATAAATCATAAGGCAAATAATTTATTTCTCAATGAATTTATCATCTTTTGTTTTAATGTCCTTTCCAAAAAACCAATAAATCATTTTTAAAGGATACGGTATGAGCAGTGGAATGTATGCTTCTTTCGTTATGATGATGTGTGGGCAGTACGACATTCTATATGCAAATTTGAAAAATTTAGGAGCAGTGACTCAAAAGAATTTGTCTAAAAAGATGGAAGAGCAATTTAAAATTAAGCAGATGAACTTTAAAGCCGAAGAGCAGGAAGTCAATCAATATTTGATGTCAACAGAGAGGGTTGACAACATTGATCCATCAGCTCGGGTTTATCTTGATGAAATGGAAGCTATGGCTGATTGTGTCAAACATCATGAGATGATTCTTCAGTTTGGAAAAATGTTGCAGGACGTTTACAGTGTGTTTAGTTCTTCGAAGCTGTTCTACTCAAGTAAGTGAAATTTTTTTGAAACTATTCCTTACAAGCTTAAAACTTTCATGATTTATTGCCAAAAATTAAATTTTAATGATAAAAAATCGATCAGAATAAACAATTTTCATGTCGCATCCACAGCATTCCTACAATGTTTTCTAGCGTACGCCCTGTCATCAATGGTAAGCATGAACTATTTTTTTCATTTACTCTACAAACAAATGACCAACTGTCAAACTTATCAGATGGAATTTTCATGGATAAAAATGGGAAATTTATTGAATTATTTTTCACTCTGCTGCTTCGAATTGTTACTTTTTTGCTATTGTGGGGAGATTCTAAAGCATCATGTAAGCATATCTACAAAACCCTTATGACTTTCATTTATTCATTTTCTAATTGCTCTATTCAAAACTTTTCAATTCTCCTTTTTTTTTAATTGTTATTATTAGAGCTGTAGATGTGGAGAAGCTTTAATGCGATCAAATTGGGAAAGTTTTAATGTGACCATTCGACGTGGTATGATAATTATCTTATCGTACGCTATCAATCCAATAGAATTGTTGGGAATGAAAATTAATGCATTAAATGTTGATCAGTTTCGAGCTGTAATGGGAACTACGTTCTCATATTATACACTTTTAATGAAGATGAAGGATAGACGTTCTTAAAAGAATTGAGATTATTAATTCGATATTTGAACTGAATTAGTTTAATTGTTTAGAAACTATTGATTATCTATTGATTCATAAACTGTAGAATTTGATTTTTGTGCTGAAATATTTCAATTAAACTTAGTTTAATTTTTCTTTAAAGGTTTATTGATTCAGAATTGTTCAAAATTAAAGGTTTAAACTTAAATTGGTAAAAAGCAGGTTCAAAACTTGAAATTTGCTATTTCAAAATCTGAATTTTGCATAATCTAAAGCTTGTTTTCCTAGAATACAAATTAAAACTTAAATATCAACCCAAATTTTACGAAAACTAATAGCACAAGCAAATATTAATTTTAATAAGCAGTCAAAAGAGTAAATAAGAGTAAATATTTGTCAATATCAAGCTTATGGTAATTGTTATTGCAAGATTTTCATTGAATTTGCATTTTGCAGCCTCGAGTTATTGTTAAATTGATAACAATAGGTTAAATGCAACTTAACAACTTATTTTAAATTGATAAAATCATCAGAATTGCAAAGATAATACAAATAGAAGCTTATAGAAATAAATCGCAAATTCTTACTAGTAACAAAATATTTAAAGTAGAGTCTTTAATCGATTTTATAGTTAAGTAACGGATTATTGGAAAAGTAGCTAATGAAATCAGCATAAGAGCAATAAAATACAAACTTCAAAATTCAAGATAATTTATTAAAGTAAAAAGCTATTGAATTTAAGACAAATTACAACAATGACTTGAAATTGGCTATTAATCTAAGTTACACAATCTCATGCCAAACTGTTATTAATTATCTTTAAAATAACTATTATTATATTTAACCACATTATTGCAGTATCCGTTCGCTTTAACAAAAATCCTATTATAAGTTGAAATCAGAACGAAAGAAATTGTAAAAAAAATAATAAAAATAAGCAAAAATTTAGTTCCGAATGCAAAAGAAGAGAAAAGCTTTTTATTTCCAAAAAAATAATAAAATAATAATAATAAAAAAAGGAAAAACTCAACACAAAGCAAACTGAATGCAAATCGGAGAAGGTTTCACGTAACACAAAAAATTGTTCATTTTTAAGTCTGTGCAATTCGTTCCGAAGGACGTGTTAATGCACTAATTTGAAATTCGTTTAATCGATCGAAAGTTGACGGAATGAGCCATCAACACCAAAGAGATCTGTTTCCCCACGAGCACCGCCTGGACGGAGACTTTCATTAGCCTTTGATGCTTCTTGGTCCTTGAACCATTGGGTATAGTCCTTAATTTTGTTTCTCCATTGTTCTGCAAAATTATAAATTTGAGTATTAGTTTGAAATTTATGATTTAAAAACCCGAGCAACACAAAAACTTGTTCTTTTACGTTTTGAGACTCTACTGAGTAATCAAAACCCGTGACGTCGTAAAACAGAACTTTTTGAGTAGCGAACTTACCATTGAGATCCTTAATGCTTCCAGCATTACCGCCATATTCAGATGGGAGCATTTCTTTTGGAACGAATTTATAAAGATCTTCTAAGTTACTGTGAATGTGGATACGTTCACGAATCTTTTCTTTGAGGAAAGGCTTGACAAAGTTGACGATAGTGTCGACAAGTGGTGAAACATTAATGACATGAACTTCCTTTAATCTAACTGGATAGGCTTCCTGAACACAAACTAAGAATTTCTTAACGAGAGTTGGTGTGAATTTAGCAAAATGTGTTGGAGTTGCAACACTAGCATCAAGTACGTAAACATCACCGGCAACGCCAGTTTTCTCTTCATACAATCGAATGTCACCGATCATCAAAGCTAATTTCATACCATCAGCGACATTATTTGGCATATTATCACGATCTACAGCCCTGAGACAAACAACACGGCAACCGCCTGGTGTAAGACCTGGTAATGGTGGCATATCAGCAATATCCATAATTTCGCCTAATTCTGGACGATTAATATCACGGTTGGTAAAGAATTCGGGAATTGCGTTACGCATGGCTGAATTAAAATAAAGAAATATAAAGCATCAATAAAAATTATTCATGGTAAGTCACAATTTCTCGCGAAAAATGGGACACGATTGTTGTTTCTGCAAGGCTTCAACCTTGAACACATCTCGAAATTAAAATCATGCCCGGTTGCTTATTAAATTATTTATAGGCATTTTACAAATAAAATGAGATAATATCCTTACTGTAGTACATATCAAGCTTTTGCTTGACTTTCTCTAAGCTGAATTTGCACCCACGCAAGAATGTGGTGAGACGTTGGTCATCTACAAGACATAAAAAAGGGAAATTATGAGTATAAAATAGGTTACATCTCAATATCATCCATACCCATGTCTTTTGGCAAATGTGGCTGCTTATCGAGCCACTCACGGATGATGACAATGTCCTTTGCAATGGTATCAGCATCTGGTTCACGCAATTCCTCACGAATTTTGGAAGACATATCACCGCTTGGTTGAACGAGAGACATCTATCCGTTAGGAAATGCAATAGAACAGAAAAAAAGTTTTTAATGTATCATGTTTAGTGGGTCAATGGAAGTAACGACTGCATTTTTACAGCACAAGAAATAAATGTTGTAATAAATGGCAATTGGAATATGTACTTCTGGTAAATCAAGGTAAACTGGTACATATGCTTGGCGTTTCTTGCTTATTTTCTTCTTTGGTGCGCTTTTTTCCAACTTTATATGAAATAAAAAGGTTTTTAATCTTTATAAAAAATTGTTATTTCACAACAATTTATTAAGTTTTACTTGATTTTCATCTTTTGGCGCTAAATTTTGTAGAAATTTAAACATGATGTGTTAATTTCCACGTTATTTATTATTTTAAAAAATAATGATAGACAAAAAACTCAATAACTATCTTCCGTTGATGTGTATTACTCGAAATATTATTCACTACTGCGACATGAACGAGTAAAAAGGTAGAGAAGTTGAAGAAAAAAAAATCTTTTGCATTTACGTTTAAAAGCCAACTTATTTTCAATACATTCAATGCCTTTCATTTAACTCATTCTTCTATAGCTTGACATTGTTGACAGAGTTGATAGTTAAATGTTGATAAAAGTGTGGAATGTAAGCTGGATTAATCGAAAGATGCTTTAATGGACTTTTAAAAATTGAACGAATATTTTAAAAATGCAAAATTTAAACTTGTAAGTTAAATTAAGTATTTTGTGATCTAATATTCGAGAATTCAACTAAGTTTATAAGCTCAAAATAAAAAAAAATCAAATAATATGTTAACACCAATTTCATCTAAATCAATATCAACTCTGCGTCCAAATTTTCACACTCAAAATATTTCACATTTGACAATAATCATCATCGTCATAATTTGCCACTAATATCAATGTATAAGAATATTATTAACATAGCTGAAGATTCACAAACAAATTATATTCATTAGTAATTGTAATATAAGGTAAGAAGAGAGAGAAGATAGTGAAAAAAAAATATTACACAAGATTACCAAATGATGCGAAGGTCAGTACCAATGAGAGTGACATACAAAAAGAAGAAAATGTTATTTAATGAGACATGCGGGTATGAATAAGTATTGGTGTGCTTGGTGTGAATGAACGTAAGCAATTCAGAAAAAAGCTAGAAGGAGGAAGATATGTATTAAATAGTCTTTGTCACGCAATATCTGTTTTTGTCAATAGACATTTGCTCTGCCATTTTTCTTGTTGGCTGTCCAACAATAGCCGTCAATTTTCATTGTCAAAATATTTTTTCAGGTTCTGAATCGGACAATTTAATCAAATTAAAATGCTAGCTTGCATCCTCGAAAAATAAAATCAAACTTTCTAAAAATCATATGGGGCCGTTCACTTATGACGTTCGACATTTAAGGGGGGGGGGGGGGGGGGAGAGGGACTAGGATTTTGTGACAGTTCAAACAATGGACATTTTTTTCTATAGAATTTTTGTGACAGAAGGGGGAGGGGGTCTAAAAATCAAGTTTTTTGATGGACGTCATAAGTGAACGATACTATGACTCAACGGTAATTCAATTCATTCTGCAGCCGTAGTTTTGAAATCTAAAATTTTGTTCATTTAATAAAAATACAAAAGATACTTTATGTGTTAATTAGAGAATATTGAAATTAAAATTTACAACTTTAATTAGTAAGAGAAAAGAAATCTAAGAACAAGTCTATTTAATTTATTATAAAAGTCAAAAAACTTGTTAATTTAATTGGATAATTATTTGGTCCAATTTATTAGAACATAACATTTTAAGACGCTACTCTATTAATGTTTTTGTTGAGTTGTTAATTTCATAAAGTAAGCAAAATCCAACAGCATGCAGCAGACGAGTATTCATGCGAAGCATCACGAATGAAGCTATTTAAATTCATTCTACGTTTCATGCTGCTTCTGTTTTTATGTACTTTTTTTATGAGGATATAGTCATTGAATTCATGCATGATGTAAATAAAGTGAATTCTATCTGGAACATGTGATAGACGATTTATTATGGAATGACCAAGCACCATGCGATTAAAGAATATACACATGTTCATTCAAAGGTTTTAAGGTTGCATCCAGATGCATCAAATTGTAATTAAATGTGTTTTAGTATTAAGCTCACGATTTGAAATTGTATATACATATGTGTGTTGTTTAGTAGCATGAGCAGTTTATCTTAGGAGCAGATGAGCTTTGAAATTGGGGCTTTTTTAATTTTGATGTCTCCAGAACTAGATAGGCAAAAGAATACCTAGACTTTAAGTTGAGGTTTAAAATATATTAAATGAAATTTTAGGAGCAATTTTATGAATTTCTCAAGTCAAACTTCAGAACAATTTAAGGCAAACACAAAACATTTTTTGATTGACTTGTCTGTTTTGTTCACCAAAGCTATTCAAGTTCTCTCTCAAATATTTTTCGGAAAGTTTATTGTGCCTTCATTATAGTCATGTCAGAAAATCACAATATACAATTTGAACTCAATATCTGCTTCTAAAATATCTGTAGCCATGAAGAAGATTAGAATTGTTTGATTTGAAAGAATTCAAGAAATAATTGCCGACATCTCACACATCTTGTTCCGGTGCTCAGATTCGCACAACTATCAACACATTCTCTGAAACGATTTATCCAACAACTTAGTATATAATTTGATTGATATTAATGAGTAGATGATTAATAAGAAGAAGTAAATGAATGAATTTTAGTCTACGAGTCTACTCTCTATCATATAGTTTTATGGTGTATGAACATTACTTAATAATCATTACCGAGAAACTTAACACAGACTAGTAAGATTCAGTTCCTTATAAATATTCATTTGACGTGCAACTAATTTCAGTTAAGGTGAAAGTTCATAAATGATTCTGTGTTTTTTGCATTATTGCGATAATGCTTTTGCCGCTTGCTTGAGTAATTATATAGCGGTATAAAATTTCCATAACTTTTTTCATACTTTACAATTACAGTTTTGTGTTTATATAAATTGAGATCATGATACACATAATGATCATCATTGCGGTCATCCACAAAATTCAATTAAAACTTCTACTGCGAAACAGTTCATCTAATGATATTTTCAGATAAAATTACTTGAAATTTAAATTGATGGAAATATTTCCTTTACAAATAAGTTGAAAAGGAAATTACACAAGGTATTACAAATCTTGGTGTGTGATTGAGATATCTTGTAATTGAGAAATGAGAAAAACTTTGTTTCGGAACCATCATCATTTCTGTTAAATATGCACAATTAAATTTTTTTAAGTTTCTTTTTTTCTGTGTAGATTTAAAATCACGATAATTTCGCGTATTTTATTGCGATGAAGAAGTTTTCTTTCATTTATTTATTTTGTGAATTATTCGTTGAGAGTTTGAGTTAATGAGTTTAACTTTATGTTGTTGAGAATAATATTTATTGGGTATTTTGGGTGAGTCAATTGCTGTTTAATTAAATTAATTTAAGTTGATTGAGATTCAGGGATTATTCTAAATTTTATGAGATTCATTATCTGATTTGAACGAAATTAAAATTTAAATCTCGAATTATTTATTCAATTTAGATAATATGAACAGCATTCTAAAAACTTTATGAATCACACTTTAATATTAAGGATTATAAACTTTAATGGTTCAGATAAAAACTTAGAAAATCAAGTTTTTTGAATCAATTTCAGAACCTTTATCTTGATTAATCTATGAATTTTAAACGAAATAATAACTTCACAAGATTTTCACAAGATTTGGAAATAACTTTATTGAAATTTTGAATATTTTAATTTCGTCGTCAAGTTTTGAAGGTAATCCTTAGCTTATGTGTTGCACAATTAAATTGTGCATGAAAAATCCTGAAAAACCTTTGAAAATCACTAAACTTGATTCAAATCATTTTGAACAATATTGAAAATTTTAAAAAGTTTATAATTTTAATTGAATTTTCTTCAACATTCACAAAGAACTTTTTAATCCTAAAATATCCATCCATTTTTGCACCCACTAATAAATTGTCTTCATAATCAAAACTCAATGTCAAACTATCATTAAAATGATTCACAAATAATTTCTTTAAAGTGTTTATGTTTTTTTAAAAATATTCCAATTGTCACTTATTAATCCTAAACACTTGTTCCACTGGCATTTACCTTTATCAAAAAAATTAAGTTAAAAAATTTGAAACTAAACAAAAATATATGGATAAACTTTTTTTAAGCTGTTACGCAAAAGTCTACTTGATTTGCACTGATAGATAGCTGATGTACAACTAAAGCTTAAACACAAACTCTTCCGATCTATATACCCTCGTTAGCTCGCGAAAAGCGTAATGTATAATTGTTGAAAAAACGGCAAAATACAATTTTTTTTCTTATTGTTTAAAACCTCATAGCGCTACTTTATTGCTATTTTCCTCTATCGTGTTTTAAGTGAATTTCTTCTGTGTTAAAGCAGTGTTGAGAATGTGGAAGAAAGTTTTCCATATATGCATGAGATGTCTGTTGATTGTGTGCTATATGAAATATGAATTCTTTTATATCTTTGTAGTTGTGTGATGCTTCTTTATGCTGAAATACATTTCTTTGGCTAATGAGTTTTGATTTGAGTTGGAGTCGGGGTGTGCGAGTTTAAAGATAGAAAATATTGAATAATGGATTTGTTGATTAATTAAGACGATTAGAACTTTTAGAAGATGATTATTTTAGAGTTTGAAAGAGTTTTGTTCTCTTGAGTCTGGTTTTAGTTGAGTTTTTCAAATTTCAAATCTTTGAACACAAAATCTTGTAATTTTACAATCTACTATTGAAGATTTAATGGTTTTTGGTTCCAAATTAGGATTTATTGCATTAATGTCGCTGATTTCTTTCAAACTTAGGTTTTGTTGCACTAGCTGAATTTAGCTGAATTGGTTAAAAATATTGCTGAACTAGCGCTGAAAAAAACTTTAAACTTGCTGAAAAAAATTGAAACAAATTGATGAATCATATCGAAAGATCGCTGCATATACTTAAAATGAGCTTTAAAAAGTTGGAGGAACATTCTTGATAGTTGTTGAAAACTTCCAAATTGCTTGAATTTTACCTTTTCAAATTTCTTTCAAATTTCATAAAAAATAATGTAAATTAGCTTGCAAAATTCATGCTCAGCAGCAAAATATTCAAATTATACCCATTTGCACTCCCTGAGCCATGGAGATAGCATTCAAATTACCTTTTATCTCTATTAATCTACATATGAAGCAACATACGCGTAGATTTTATGAATGTCTATATTTTTATAAAAACATAAATTGCATTTTTAGTGTTACGAGGAAATTGGGTCTGCAAAAAAACACATTTTTAAAATGAAAAAGAAAGAAGATTAAAAAAAAATCAATAAAAATAAAATAATGTTTTTTTCTTTCAGTATTGAAAGTCAATGAATTGACATTTAGAGAGTCATTTTGTAATCTAGATATGAAGTCTGAATGGTAAATAATAAGAATGCAATGAAAATAAAATTTGAATTTTCTTCTTCTTTATGTAAATGGCGAAATCAAATTGATATATTTTGTATGGATTCTAGAAAAATGAGCACTTTTTTGGAGGTTATTTCTTGATTGAGAATCAAGTAAGAGTTTTGATATTTCTAATGAACTTGATGTCATTGATAATTTTGAAGCTTGTGGTGAGCAAATATTTGAATAAATGAGTAAATAAAGCAGTTATTTGCTTCATAAAATGCTTTACATTTTCATATTTATTTGCTCTTAATTTTGTTCTAATTGGCTAGCTAAATAAGCATTTATTTGTTTATTTCCTTAATAAATGAAAGAGTTATTTGCAAATTAATTTAAAGATGGTTAAATGTTTTAATTGCTGCATTTCTCGCTGAATCTTCTTACTAAGTTGCAAAGACAAGGATATTTTCTGGTACCTCAAACGAATAAACATACAGGCATTAAGCTCTAATCTACAGGCTGGCTATACTGTTCTGAATACAACGCTTAGAAGAAAAAATGAAAGAGCTTTGGCTAGCGGCCTTTAAAAATCAACAATCACTGATTATCATTATCAATCAAAAGGTTTAAGATGCTTTAAATTGTTCTCCTCTGTCCTGCCAAATCTCAAACCCCTTGTGTAAGAGTCACGTATCGTCAACTTGATCACTGCGTATTACAGTTCTAAATCATGCAGAAAGGTTCTTTAATTTACAAAATTCAGACAGTCTAGCACAATGCTTCGAACATAGTTTTGGTAAAGTAAATCGAATAAAGTTTTATGAACCAAATGCATTAATGTAATACATTTCTATCATCAAATTAGCAACGGATATTGATAATATCCACTCAATAAATTTTGACACTAAGACATATTTAAACCTTACTTCTCAGAAAGACTTTAAGCATCCAAATTTTCCGGAAACACCCCCAACCAAGAAGAAAAAATTCAAATCAAATTTAATTTCCATTCTCATTTATTCACATATATCTTCATCAGATTAGATTCAACTTTTATTTCTATAAGAAAATAAATTTTAAAGGGAATTTAATAGTGTTGTTTCAAAAAGTTTGTTGAATAAATAGATGATTTCATTACAGACTTATAAGCGTAATTTTTTCCCATTATTAATTCAATTTCATCCTTTTTTCATGCCTACGCTATATTACACATTTGAGATTTTGCCACATTTAATGCTTTTGATAATGCCGATGAGTGAAAAATGGGTTTTTCATACATAATCTGATAATAATGTATCATAATTCACTAGCTTCATATGTATAATCATACGATTCATAATACATGTGTGTATGCTTAACATTTTAACAAAAATAAAAACCATCTCATAAATTTATTATCTTTCAAAACTCTTTTTTTTAATTGCATAAAAAATATTGCCTGCCTGCCTGCTTTATATTATATTTTTAAATGAGATTCCTCGAATATTTTATAATTGTTTCATATCCGCCTCATATCGATGCGTTAGTTATTGCAAAGCTCAGCAAAATAATTTTTTTATTTTGAGTGCGAATACATTTTAATTAGAGCGAGAAATGAACATTTATGATTATTTCACATAAAAGTTATTTTTATATTTTTTTTTTCTTCTTCATATATGCTGCTTATTTTTTTTAAGCATATAAAGTCCGAAAAAAAAGAGTTTCTACTTCGCTTAATAGGCACTTAATTTGATTCGGTGGTGGGATATAGTTAAATACATATGCTGGAATTTATATCAAAATGAGCTTTGAATTCATTAACAATTTTTTCGGTATTGGGGATCATTCGTTAATGACGTCCGGCAATTTAAGAAGAGGAGAAAAATTGGAGATTCTGTACTTCACCTCTTCTCAGACCATTAAACCCCATCCCATTTAAATACTAGACATCATTTACGAACAACCCCCACTCAATGCTTTTCTTCACTGTTGAAATTTAATTTTGACATAAATTGTTCTAATTATTCATTATTTATTAATTTATTTCTGATGTTTAAAAAGTTTCAACTTTGCTTTTTAAGAATCAAAAATTATAATGAAAATTTATTGACCCTAGGCGTTGATTAAAATTAGAGAAAGAAGAGGTAGCCAACTTATATGCTAAGATATTAGTTACATAATTTCAAAATTTATTTTTTGCATCATTCACTTTGTAATGGTAATCAGTATAAACATTTATTAAGAAACTTAATTCAATTATGTAGAAGGGCAATTTTTCAAGCCCAATTAGTAACTCGATTCCATGCTGGCTATGAGTGAGTCATAAACACGCTTTGAATCTTCTAGAGTAAAAACCATTTGAAAGTTAATTATTGGAATAATGTTATTGTTATTTCACATAAAAATGCCAATAAACTTTAAAACTACGCAAATGATATTAATTTTCTTATTTTGTGTACATAGTTCATAATTAAATTAAACAACAAAGAAAATTAATTTTATAATTTTTTTGTGTAGACAACAAAACAGTTTGTTTTTTAGAAGAGATGCTTTTATCGCCATTAACATGATTGTTTCTTGGGGTTGTTAAAAGGGTGTGTGTGGGCTAGTGATATGAAACTAGAAGTTTTTGCATCAATTTATTTTCCTGAACGTACTTTAGATGCGAAAATTTCGCATCATTTTTTTAAAACGCACTTAAGATGCAAAAACTTTTTGTTTTACTGAACGCATTCAAGATGCGAAAGTTTTGTATCAAAAGATCTGCATTCAGTAAACTATCATTAGCACACCCTAAATGTAAAGCAAAACTTTCTGTATATTCAAATTTGTTAGTCTTAAGAATTCACTGATATACATAGGATTATCATAATTGTTTTTGTTGCAAATTTTTTCCATAATATTATAAGAACTACTTTGTACATCTATTCCTTTTTTATATTAAAAAACTTTTTCCTTGATAAACTTAGCCAAGAATGCATGTTGAATCATGTTTGAGATTATTTTTTTTTTTTCAATAAAAAATATAAAACTCTTTTTCAAAAGAACAACTAAACCGTAACAATATGTTCATATATTTCGATTTTCTTTTTCTTTAATTGCACTTTAAAACGATAGATTTACTTGAGCTGTACAAGCACCATAAAGTAGGTAACAACCGCACCTAAAACCGATGCAAACAAGTCAAGGGAAACGGTAAAGAATTTCGCACCAGAGATGGTCATTGCCTTTTGACATTGTTGGCATACAATCTGTATGAATGTCTTTGCTTCTTCACTTCCGTCATACCAATGACAAGAATAGGCTGCTTCCATGACACTTGAGCTCTGCGTTATTTGGGGAATTGAAAAATGAAGGAAAAGAAAAATGAAAATGACAAAATTTTGTGACAGAAAAGAAAAAAAAATATATATATTTTTGTACCTCCTCGATTAGACGGTTGCCAAAGATGCAGAACAAGAAAACTTGGGCGAGAGCATAAATAAGATAGCCCAACACACCGAGTGCAAAAACTGTTATGCCATCAATTTTGGTTGCCTGATATGCCAACAATGTTAGCATAATGGTCGATGTCAACATGTGAAGCAATAAAGCTAAACCATAAGTGTCACCGATAGCAGAGACGAAGCTATTTAAAGGACAAAACAGGATGGAAAAAAAGAATAGGAAAAAATTAAAAGTTTTTTCAATTGTTTCTCATTCTTATCTTGTCACAGAATAAGTTTTATGTTAAGCCATTAAACTCTTACCGTACAACATGCTTATGACGTTCTACCCAGTACTTAATGGCACTTCGAACCATGAGCTCTTGTTTCTTGGTTAATCCATTTGGATTGGTTCCGTTCATGCCATTGAAGCTTTGTAAGGTTGTTGGTGCACGATATTGAGCTCCCCAATCTGCCTTTGTGCTATAGATTGCACTTATATTCATATCATAGTTGGAGTTCTTTTCATTCTCCATTTCTGTATGAAAATAACAAAAGGTAAGGAGATTTATTTTTCATAAAGAATTGCTTTACGGGAGGATCTACGATAAGAGGATAATATTTATTGCTACAAGAATACCTTACCGTCATTAAGTATCAATTCTGATTTTGATCCCGCTGATACATTTCGGAACAAAGCTGCGGAATTTGGACGGTATGTATCCAATGTAGCTGAAAGCTCCATCAATGGCCTCATAATTCCCTATTATTGAAGTTTTGAGAAGGAGAAAATTTTAGTGTAAGATTTTTTGTGCAAAAATGTTTGAAATGAAAATAAAGGTAGTAATGAGATGCGAGTATTTCGCTTCCAAAGTGTGCTCATTTAAGAACATGAAAAAAAGTCTGCCTCAAAAGTGTGTTCAGTTATAAAGAAGCAAAACATTCAACCTCAAAAGTGTGATCAATTAAAAAGATGCAAAAAATTCTGCCTCGAAAGTGTGTTCAGTTAAAAAGATGCAAAAAATCACAAGTATGTTCATTTAAGAAGATCCATAAAAAGTCTGCCTTAAAAAGACGTTCAATTAAAAAGAAGCAAAAAATTCTGCCTCAAAAGTGTGTTCAGTTAAAAAGATGCAAAACTTTTTCATATAAAAATGATTTAAATTTATTAAAGATACTGAATACTAGCTTTAAAAATTCAGCATCAATTGAGAAATAAAAGTTAAACATAACCTGAACTAATCGAGGAAAATAAAAAAAGCAATTTTCTATTAACAAGCAATGACAGAAAAAAAAACTTTTATTTTATTTACCTTAAGATGCTGCAATTGCTCGCAACAGAAGAGCACCCATGAGCAGAAGAGAACATCAGATAGATTCGCTTGCAGCATAGAGAAGAGCAAATAATAGAATTGCAATGCAAATGAAAGGTAATATCCCATTCCAGTGTATGAGTTCCATGGGTACCATGACTTTATCATCAGCCTGGGAATCTCAACCGTAACAGTCTCATTGAGTGCCTTATCCTTCCACAATTTTGTACTGTCGCCGAAGAATGTGAGCGTTGTCCAACAAACACCAATCGAACACGTTGTCGCCGTGACTATGAATAATAGTCGTCGCATTTTTGTCAGCGTTAGCGAATGATATCTGTAAATGACAACAAGTTTTTCTTTCACTGTCATATTCATACTCAAGCTAAGAAGCAGAGTCAATGTTTACCTTGCATCAGATTCCGCAAATAAAGGATGAGTGTTAGACTGATTCCAGATTCCCATCGTACGATATACTTTGTCAGCGTTTAGAGCAACATAAATAAATTTTGTGATGCAATGTGTGAAGAATAATGCCGTAATTGTGTTTGCTAATTTATATCGAATGACAAGCGAGCAAGATAAATTTTTTTTGTATTTTAATTAAAAAGGGAAACTAATTTTGCTGCACGTGTAATTATATACAAACCCGTCAGTTCGCTAACTTCGTCCGTGTTCTTTCCCAAATTTATCAAAATACAGACAAATTGAAAGAAAAACAAGATGAGTGTCATGGTTGAGTAGAGTTTGCGGATGAAGATGGGACCCGTGATGTAACGAAAGATGAAATGCCCTATGGTTTGCATTATTCGGATGTTGGGCAGCAAATCTGCCACAATACCCGTGTATTTGGGTTGTTGCACTTGCATCTGTGAATTTTTAATTTGTTATTTTAGTGAAAGGGATTTATTTTAAGCATAAACAATAACAATTGTGTGATTTTTAGAGTAGAAATGCATTCTCTATTCTGTCCAATACACTGCTGAGCCTTTTTCTAGTGCATTGTTTAAGAATCTTGATATTAAAAAAGTCTACATTGTTTGTTTTTAAATAAAAATGACTATATTTGCTACAGAAAGCATTAAATCGTCGTAAACATGCAGTGTTACCTTTAAGAAATTTAAAAGGTTGTTAAGGAGAATCACACACAGTACGTGCACAAAATGATACTGTTTTGAGATTAATATCTGATGATAAGCGAGGCTTGTGTCTTTTAATAAAGATTTTGCCAATTTCATTGCTAAAAATGAAAATTAAAGAGCCTCACGTGAATTTTTGAAATTAAAATCTCCAATTTTTATCAGTTTTAATGAATTTTTTTAAAAGAAATTCAAAAGTTTTCTTTAATTCAAATATTTTACTTTAATTCTTAATTGAAATTTAATAAAAATACTTAAAAAATAAATAAGATAAAGACAAAGTTTGTTCTAGAAAGTTTGTCATGGCATTTAAATTTTCAATTATTAATTTTTAAGACATTGCAAGCGTCTGCAAGATGAATTTTAATTATTTTAAATTAAAAAGTAATATTTAATGAGATTAAGCTCAGTTTTAATTTGATTAAAATCGCACTTCGATTGATTTTTATAAATTTTAAATCAGTTTGTGTTAGTAAAATTCTATTTTTGTATGCTTCATTGATTTAAGAGATTTTATAAGAATAATTTAAATTTAAAATGTTGAATTTTTTTCTTGTAATCAAAAATAACTTAATTAAATACTTGTTTAAAGCTTTAATTTACTTTTTAACCACTTTAAAACTTGATTCAACTTTTCAAGATAAAAGAGATAAAAAAATTAAAAATTGAACTTAAAAAAGAAAAATTCAAGAAAATTATATTTTCCAACAAAACTGAAATTATGATTGTAAAAATATTCGGCCTGTTTCACTAAAGTGGATTATCCTCGATTTCGGATTATCCACTTCAGTTTTTTGAAAATATCGCCAGACGCTTAAGGTTATTAAGAGATCTAATGTGTGATCTAGCAAGAGTACTTTGCTCCTTAAATTAACATATACTTAGAATTTTTATTTCTTCATTGGTTTGAGAATTATAGCAAAAATCGAAGTTAATCTACTAGATTTGGCTAGAAAATTGAATAATTAATACTTCTTACCAACAAGTAAAAGTTTATAGTATACAGAAATTTCAGACATAGTTCACTCTATTAAAATCCAAAATTAGAAATACCACACCTCCCATAAAGTTTAAGATATTTCCAAAAAACTGAAGTGGATAATCCGAAATCGAGGATAATCCACTTTAGTGAAACAGGCCGATTATTATTTATATTGCAACAAAGTCATGAAGCTATAAAAATTCATTTATGGAAATTTCAAACTATCACAAAGAAAAAGCTTAAAAGTTAAACTTTATTTTCTTAAGAAAAAAAATCTTTAATGAGAAAAGCAAAAGTTTATAAATAAACTGTTAGTAAAGATTTTTTCTTAATTTCTTATAAAATAAAATAGTAAAGTTTCTTATCTGATTATACTGATGAAATAATAATTAATTTCAAATTTTATTTGTTTCAACTTGCACTTTTGTTTTCATTGGCTTTTAACTTTTGGGATTTGTTAAAAATGATATTTAAATTTTCACAATTTCAATTTAAAGTTTGTGATTTGTCAAAATTCAAGAATGTCATCTTTTCAACTTAATTTAAATTTTTACAATAACTTTTCACTTATCATTTCTCAAAAAAAATTCAATTTTCCATTTTTCTATTATTTTAAATTTAAGCAAATATTTAAATCTTTAATTTCAACACTCAGTTTAAATTTCACCAATCCATCAAACAAATAAACAAACAGAACCAAAAAATAAATTAAAGTTTTCTTAAATCAACACAGAAAAGTCTTTAAATTATCCACCTTGATTTGTTTTCAATTCCAATCCTTTTCAATTATTTGATTTTTTTTCTAACCCTTTCGATTAAAATTAAGATACGTCCAAACAATTTGAATTCAGGAACCGTTGTGATTGATGTCGTCGTCTATAAAATTAAATTTTTTTCCTCAGCTTCGACACGGCAATAAATTGCTTAAAAAGTCAATCAATTGGTTTTCTATCGTAGCCTAGGGTAATATTACACGTATATTCATTTAATAATTAACTTTAAAGTTTCAAGTGCAAGAGTTCTAAATCAACAACGTGTTCCAATGGCAAAATATCTCCCACGCTTCTCCCCCTCGATTAGATAGAGAAAATATATATGTGATATGAAAAGTTTGAAATCTATAACATTAAGTAAACGACGAAGAGTCATCAAATATATTTGTAGAATATTGATTTATCCTCATATCCATATATCAATATAAACTGAAGTGGACGGAAAATTATATGTCGTGGTTGATGAACAGATTTCAATGCTGTGGATTGATTAAAATAAAAGATCAATGATTTGGGAGATTTGTGTATGAACTTAGGAACATTGTCGAATAGATTTTCAACTGATTTGATTATTTTCGAACTTAATATCGAAAATCAAAATTCAAAATTCTAAGATCAATTTTGAATTTTGATTTTCGATATTAAGTTCGAAATTTTTTGATTTTATTTGATTTGTAAACAAAAGATGATTTTGTAAAGATTTTATAATTAAATATCGTCAAATATGATCTTAATTCATTAAAATCGTCAGCATTGAGCTCAATATTTGAATCAAGATGATAAAAGATTCAAATTAAAGTTTCATTTGCGAAAATAAATGAAAAGTTGAAGTAGAGTTGTTTTTAAAAGGTTTCTGTTTTCAAAAAGAATGTTTTTTAATCATTCCGAATCAATTTCTATTGTGGTTCCTACAAGACTTACTGAACCTGAGCCTCGAATTTCTCGACATTCATTTTAGATATTTTCTTATTCACTAAATCGCCATACTCTTTGAATAGTATAGAACCTACAGAATTCATTTAAAATCTACGAAGAATGCTAGAACATTTCCAACATTTCCCGTCGAAGCCATTGTACATTTATGTTGTTTCTTTTATTTTATGAGAAAAAAAATATTGAAACAAAACCGATATGAAAGAAAAATATGAAAAAAGAGATCTTATATATGACATATCCTGGGAATTGTTAATAACATTTTGCACATGTAACAGCTTTCAACGTAAATACACTTGCGAATCTCAAATCTCTCAGTAATCAATTTGTTTAAAACATTAAATACTTTATATAAACAACAATCATGAATGATTTTTACCTTGTTGCTTCAACTTTCGAATGTTTTTCATCTCATAAGAGGAACTACGGAGACTTCATTGTTCATAATATGCAGATAAGGACGAGAGAAAAGAATCTCTGAGAATTTTGTTGAAAATTCTCCTCTCTGATGTTTTTCATCCTAGAGAGCAAGCGATTCAACATTAACTTCGCATGTAGCAAAATAATTTTCATTGAGGATTCTCACAATAAATTTTTTATTCAGCCGAAATAAGGCAACAGTGAGAGAAGGTTTATGTGCATGAAGTCGAGAAAGAAGACAGGAAGAAAGAAGGAAAAGAAAATTGATTTTTTATATATGAAAAAATACACACACTTTTTTTCCCTTTCGAATCGAAGGAGAAAATTCCTTTTTTAAATGAAAAGGAGATATTAATAAAATAAAATAAAAAATTTACTAAAGTGCCCTAGTGTTGAAAAAAGTTGTGAAATAAAATAAAAACGTTAAATATAGTGATAGAAATTTTACAATTACGAGTAGAAAAAAATTTAATTGTTAAAAAGAGGTTCAAAAGAGGAAAAGGCAGAGAAAATATTCCATAACAAAAAAAAAGTTTGTGAATATTGTGAATTTTTTTTTCATCATATTTAAGTTAAAAATGTTAATTATCTTGAGTATAGACCACATCTGTGGGATCCAAAAGATGCAAAAAGAGCATCTAAAGTCTTAAAAATGTAAAATCTACATTACTTTTAAATGCAGACATTAACATGACGATGAAAAGGATGTTATATAACCATCTCGTTGCCACACATAGAGAACGAAAAACTCAATGCTCATTCATCCAGAAAACAATTTTTTTTGTGTGCCCCAATGCTACACACATTCTCAATTTTTGCCTCAACATTTTCATTCATTCAATTTCTTATTTTATTTGATAAAAATGATTAGACTGAAAGAGCATTGGCATCGGCAGTAGCAACAGATAGATGGCAAGGGAGGATGTCATAGTGCTTCTTTTTACTTTAGGCGATGAACATGTATACTGAAATCTATTGCTGTTGGCGCGATGATAAATTACTTTCATCAAAAGACGACCGTCTTTTTATATAAAAAAATAAGCTGAATATGGCATTTGTGCTGTAGTTTAGAACAGCTTTTTTGAGGGATAAGCTCCCATAAAAAAAATCTCTCGTTCTCTCTCTGAGATAAACGTTTTATATTGCTGAATGCCACAGTCAAAAAAACATCGAAGAGATTTAGTAACATTGAGGATGATGATAATACCTCACGGAATAAATAAGATGGGATGTAAGAAAAACATGTATTTTCGCACAAAATCATGAAAATACACTGAGGCAAGGCAATTCTCTTCTTTATTAAATTTTCAGCACTTCTCGCGTGCTCTAAACAAATTATTAGTCATATACATGGGAATTCCTTCATAGACACTTTACTTTAAGAGAAGTACATGCTTTCCGGGAATTAAAACCTTTCTTACATCCTATCAAACTTTATTCTCTCGCTCATTCAAGGGTGAATGTATTAAGTGAGGGATCATCTTGTTAGACTGATGAAAATTTTATGGCGTTTTTTTCGGTGTGAAAATTTTCTCATAACTTCATTAAACATTTCTCTTAGCGGTTTATGTTAATTTAAAAAAATATGATAATTTGATACAAACAACAAGGTCGTCTTCAGCATAATTTTTGACATATTTTTTTCATCTAAAAATATTTCTCATCACTACCCAATTTAAAAGTTGCTGGAATAAGAATTTTTGGTGATGAAAATTTCTTCTCACGTGCATCTTTTTGAGTTTTTGTCTGCTTTCGTATAAAAAAAAGGCTGTTCTGTAAGAGAATTAAGGTACACAACTTGATTACGAACTCTTCCATTATTCTCTAATGACAATGAATTAATTTAAAGACGCTATGTACCTCTGCCAATTTCACTGACGGCTGATTTTTGATGGTTGGATAAACAACAGCTTTATAATGAAGGAAATTCATGGTTTCAGTCAGAAAACTCACTTTAATACAAAGAATGCTCTTAACTCATAGAAAAGATCTAATATTCAATATTTATTTTGTATGAAGAAATCAAAAATTGAATTTTGGATTTTTCTCAAAACTTAAATTATTTGAATTCTAATATTCGAATATTAGATTCAAAAAATTTGCAACGAACGGTTTAAATTTCACATAACCGTTAAATATAAATCAAATCAAATTTTCGAATATTAGAATTTAATTAAAAAATTATTCAATTTTTTACCTGAAAAATAAAAATTCGAATGATAGATTAAAATATTGCAATATTTGATTATATGTTAAATTGATACTTTCTTTATTAATTTATTTATATTTTACATGTCATATTAAGTAATTATAACTTTATAGTACTTATCGATGAGCTTATTTTCAACAAAATGCAATCGAATAAATATTTTTCCCAAAATTTATCTGGTTGTACATCCGATTTTTTTCATAAAAAATGTCTTCATTTCCTTAGTCTTTTCATCATGTTTAGCTTAACTAGAAGCAAATTTTTTTCAAGCATATTTACCGCAAACTGAAATTAAAATTTTAGGATTAATAAATTAAAAAGACAAATGTATGATTTAAACACTTACCAACTTAATAAATGTGCTTTTTATAATGTCGTTAAAATAAAATATACCATTTTACAATCACATCAATCCTTTTTTTTCGTTTTTAATACTTTAAGTTCGTCGAAACTTCCCAGAATTCACTGTATTATCAGTAGAAATACACTTTTTGTAACTTTATTTGAATGAAGATTTTTCAATTTTGCCACAGAAAATATTCTAACAACTCTACTATTATAATTTTAGAATCTAATATTTAAATATTTGATGAATTTTACAAAACTTACAATATTATTGAGTGACTTTGAACCGATATAGAACCGATAAAACCGTTTCAAAAATTCCAAAAATGGCGACGTTAAAAAGTATATTGAAAGACCTTTCCAACGATATATATATTATAGTACTTATTAAGCAGTATTGATTTACTACGGATTTTCAAAGTTGCGAATGGACTTACGACAATATCGCGAAGAATCATTCATTTATTGTAAGAATGTAAAATCTAATATTCAAATATTTGAATATTAAAAAAAAAAAATATTTGAGTTATTTTTTCCTGATTTTTAAATACATATTTGTTTGTTTAATTTCTAATATTCCCTTGTTGAAATTTGTGTGTTTTTGCACTTGGAGATTTCATTTGCTTATAACTTTTTAATGTCTTACTGTTGGTCTTAAATTATCAAAAATTGTTGGAATTTTCATTTTTTTATACTTAGTGATGGTTATGCTGCTTAAAGGAAGAGAAATTTGACATTTTTGGTCAAATGTTGAAATTTGTCAATTCAGAAATGTAAACAAACAATATTTTTACGCATTTTCGAGGGTTTTAAATGGCTGCATTAATGAACTTTTTTCAAGATTTCCAAATTTATTTATCATTATATATAACATTTATGTTGACTGAGTATGACGAGAAGACACCATTAAAACCTAGCACAACCCATTTTTTTCCAAAATTTATTCACGATAAAGTTTACAGAATTTTGCAAAATTGTTTTGAGAAATAAAAGAAAGAAGAGTATTTTAACGAAGTTTATTGTGTATCATCTATTTGGGACTGAAAACAGAACGTAGTTCTTGAATGTTTTTTTGTTCTTGAAGTTGGTTACATTTTTGAAATTTCTTGATTCTGTATGAATATTTGAGTCTAACACATTTTTCATTACTCTCAGTTCATGTCTTCTTCGTGTTATTTTTGTCTTAATCTTGATTCATGCCTCTAAAAACCCGATTTTGATTGTAAATAATTATTTTTGTTGACAAAATGTGCCATTGCTTTTTACGACAAAAAACACACAAATTTCAAAATATTTCGCACAAATTCCAACATTTGAAAACAACTCATTTTAAAATCAATTTTTGAAGGACTTCCAATGACTTTTCGTACGCAGAAACTTTTTTAATCGAAAAAGCAATAAAGAAAATTTGTTTTTCAACTCTGATGGGGTAAGAACAATCATTAGTTGAGTCCAAATAATTAAAAAGATGAAAACTTTCATTTTGTATAGGATTTTGAATAATTGATATTTAAAGCTATAAGAACCTTCAACACAATCCAAAATGAAGTAGAAAAGTTTTAATAACTGCTTTACAAAGAACTGCATACAAATTTTTTCTATAAATGGTTTAGTTTAGATGATTTACATTTCATTTGATCGCACAAATTTCAACATTGCACAAATTTCAACATGGTTTACCCTATTTGATTTTATAAAAATAAAATTCAAAAAGGCAAATATTTGATTTTTTTCTATGAGTGTTTGAGTTTTCATGTTATTCTATAAAATTAGCAATTCGATATGCATACTCGATATGTTTACCGAAAAATCAGCAAATAATTGGTATTATATTGAAAATGAACTTGATTACCACAATTTTTCTTATTTGTTTGTCTATTCGATACCTCGTGTAATTTGAAGATACCTTTGAAATTGAAATTTCTACTGTTTACTTTATATTTGATGATTTTGTATACTTTTTATCTATTTGATAGATGATTTTGCGGTTATGAAAAAGTTTATTGTTGCTTTGCAATTAAAAACGGCGCAGAAATGTGTTTAATTAAACAAAATTCACCGCAAAAATTGTTTTATAAATGAAACCCAAAAGGGTGTGAAACTATGAAAAAGATTATTTCAAAGGGTTTGGAAGTAAAGTTTTAAATATTTAAAGTTCGTTAAAATATTATTTCTACTTACTCCTATCTATTCATTCATAAAACATCTCTATAAATCCCATTGAAAGAGAAAACTTTCTAGTCAAGCCATAAAAAGTGATAAAAGCTTTAAAAGAAAATTTTCTTAGAAAACGGTTCAAAGTGAATACACACAAGACACACACCCATTATGCAAATATGTTCTAAAACTCTTATCTCAACTTGAAAGATTCTTGACGCTAAGTGGTAGTGACGGTATTTTACAGACACAAATGGGAAAAGAAAAAGCAGCATTACTCATAATTCATAAAGTTGTGAAGTGTAAATAATCGCTGGCAATTTTAATAATAAGCCTTGTGTAATCAATTCAGCGTGAGTGCAACTTTTAAAGTCATTATCATTTAACCGAGCAATAATTCAAAGCCCCCTAAAAAAGGATAATTTTAGTCTTTTCAGCCAACGCATCAAAGTTATGTAATGAAAATTTATTTTTCCTTTGATTTATCTTTCGACGAGTTTATGTTATTATTTGGCATTAAACTTCTTACTCCAATTGCTTTACGAAACGGTTCACATCGCAAAGCATCCCAGGCAAGCAGGTAGAACGGTACCACCTGAAAACCATTAATCATAAAATTTATTTATTTACCTACCCTCCCTTGTCTAATATCTATGAACAGAACAAAAAGTTTCTTTTTCTATGTGTGGCACTTCATGACAAACAATAAAAGAAGATCTAAAATATATACAAACTAAGCATAAATTGGCAATTCCTTTCTAGTGGCGTATAAAATACAGAAATAAGGAAAAAATATAAAAAAATAAAAAATTTGACTTATAAAAATTTTCTCAAATTCGTTCTAATTTGGAAATCCATAAATTCTTTCGTTGTTGCTCTTCTTACTCTCAATAATGTGGAATGGCAATAGTAAGACATTTCCATTGTCGCCATCAACAGAAAATAATTTGAAAGTAGTACTGTTAAAAGGTCAAACACGTTTGAATTATCAAAATAATATAAAGTTTATTGAACATACACAAGCAAATAAAACTAGTAATGGTAATAGCAACAATAGGAATAAAAGTAGTAGTAACAAATGTACGGATCGTATTGCAATTGATATGGAACTTTTAATGCAGAAAAAGTGTATTGCACAACATACTGCATAGCGATTCACTCTGGAAGGGGATAATCAGGAGACGTCATGGAAGCAAGGACCACTCAAAGTGGCCTTTTTGGGTTCTTCCGGCGTAGGGAAAACACAAATCTTACAGGTGAGTCGTGTGACATAAAAAATTCATTGAATTTGTTCGTGCCAAGATTTTCAGTACCTTTTTTGAATTATTTAAAAATTGCTATTAAAATTGAAGTCCATTTTATATCAAGTTAATCGTGCGGACCTAAACTTCAGCTTACTAAGAACATACCAGAGGAGAATGAAAAGAAAGCCACTTGGCCGTTCACTTAATCATTAAACGTTACATAACTCTTGACACCCCCCTCTCTATGTTACATTTTGTTACAATTATTCAACACCCCCCCCCCCCCTCACCCCTAAAATGCGAACGTAATAAGTGAACGGCCCCTTAATTCACATCTTCAAAGTCTTGATTTTTTAGATAAGGAAGCAATTAAAGCTAGATTGAGCAAAGTTTATTAAAGTTTCAATAGCTTTTTGTTAAAAAATGGTATTTTATACTCCATTAAAATAGTCTATAGATTCCACTTACACATTAATTGCATTCTCAATAAATTGTTATGAACGTTCTAGAATCGTTTTATTCCTGTTTATGAATCTGACCGATTTATAAATAGACTCCATTATTCCAAAAGCTTTGATGTGTAAGGATTCGAACACCATCGATACCATCGATAGTATCCATAGCAATATTAGAAAATTATGCCTTACTTCTTCAGCAATCATAACAGTCAAGTGCTCTCCGAAGCGTTTAACCATAGTGCTGTTAAAAGCACTTACAACGCAGTGTGCTTCAGTACCATTTTTTAAATTGTTGGCATTTTTTTCTCCCCCTGTGTTTTCGTAAAAATATGCAAAAAAAATAAAGAAGATAAAGAAAGGAAAGGTTGACTTTTCATACTCATCATATTTAAATAGCAGGAAGTCTATCTCTAAATTCAACTGATATGATGTGTTCCTTATAAGGGGGACAACGATATGATAGGAAATTTTGAAAACAACGTGAAAGGAAATCCTTATCAATTTCTTACCAAAATGTGTAGCTTTCCATTAAAACTTTTCTCCATCATATTGTTCCCCCCTTGGCTCCTCGCCTGTACAATTTACAAGAATAATATTATCGGAAATACCTTAAACCTTTTCCATAAAACAATTTGAATAACAATATTGAGGGAATATGAAACAGTATTGAAGATCTTGGTATGAAATAAATCTTAAATCCCTTTAAAAAAAAATTATTTTATCCAATTTGCCTGCTTGTCTTGCCAACCCGTCATCACATGCATTAGATTTTCAGTCTTGAGCATTTATTTATCTCCCTTTTTTCTTTTATTCAATGATCCCTTATTTCCTATAAATTTAGCAATTTTTCAAACATGATTTTTCCACAACGCACGTACGCACGGCAAAGCCTTATCGATACCGAAGCTGCTTGGTTTGCGATACCGTAATACGAGAACTTATCGTTCTAGATGTTCCACCTCAGGTTTGTATTCTATATTATTTATATCTCTCAATCGATAATTGACAAATTTATTTCATGCATACATCCAAGAAATTGTTATAATATATTTTTGCCATTAGTAATGATATTGGATGATGAGAAAAGAAATGTTTCTTTGTGAAACTTTTACATGACATTTGTTGATGACATCTGTCATCGTTCATTACATTATTTATTTGTGCATGACAATGATTTTTTTGTATTTTGGTATTTTTTGAGGCATAAAATGATTTCGTTTTGCATTTTTACGAGGAAGTTTTTTTTTATCTCATTTTCTGGCATTTAAATATATTCAAATTTAGGCGTAATGTTGACAAGAAAGTTAAATGCTTGTTTCCGGTGCTTTTTGTTGTTATCAAGTTGTTTTGAGGTTGAAAATTTTCTATTTTTGATTTTTTGTTTTAAAATTGTAATTTTTTGATTATTCAGCTTCACTGCAGCCTTATTCAGCTTTTAAAAAACTTTTTCATCTTTCATAATTAACCATCTTGAAAAAACCATAGAGATGCAAAAAGAAAGCATTAAAAATTAATTTGTGCAAAGATTTTGCAAAGTTCTCAAAGAAAACCAAACTTTCCTCAATCTTTTATAGTAAAAACATTTTCTTTGAATTACTCAATGGGTTTAGCAAAAGGTTTTGTACAAAACGGTTCTTTAATAATGTATTGAGCATTGTAACAACAGATCTTCTTGTCAATCAATCTAATTCATTGTCTTATTTACGAGTTTAGTGTGATTTAATGAAAATTTAATTTATAAATAAACTTTTTGTTTTACTATCTAAGCTGAATACTGCTGGATTGTATTTAATTTACAGAATATGTCAGAATTGTGCTAATTTTTGATAATAGGGTAAATACTTTTGAAAATTGCACACTTTTGAAATTTGCACACTCATATGGAAATAAAAAATAAAAATTTCACCCAAAATATCCACTTCTGATAATACTTTCTTCACAAAATCTTTTGTACAAATGTTGTTGTACCATTTTAAGTTGTCTATAGGCATCAGGAAGTAAATTCCTTCAGCGATCAATTTTTCATACAAAACGAAAAATGTAGTTCTTAAGTTGTTTAAAATTTTGGAAGTATTTCTTTTGTGAAAGAATAAGTGGAAGTGCCCAAAAAATCTCTTTTAAAAAAGCTTGTTTTTCACTTTTAAAATTTGCACAAAAATGCATCAAAACTTTTGAAATTTGCACACTTTTAAGCTTAGGAAGTATTGAAAAATTCGATGTAAACATTAATTCTTCTGAGTCAAAACATTTATGTTTTATGCCTAAAATAAAGATAAAAGAGAATAATGATTTAAAAATTAGAGGATATCTGAGGATATACATATTTTGGACATGTCGGTTATGATGAATTTAATCTAGAAAATCAAGAAATGTGCTATGCATCTAAACTTTCGATACAGCAAGTTTTAATTCTTACAAAGATTAATTGTATAAAGCAGTATAAGCAGGTCTTTATTTTATAGATGAGTTTAAATTAGGGTTTGGGGAACCTGTTAACAGAAAACAGAAAAACAGCTGTTTTTTGTCAAAAATCTGTTAACAGAAAACAGGTCTCAAAAACAGATCTGTTTTCTGTTTTTCATTTTTACATATAATTTACAGAAAAAAAATTTCTTAATTTTTTGAAGAACTTAATATATTTTTCTAGCATTTCAAATTGAAATGTATTTACTATTTTAATATTTTTTGGATGTTTAATAGGTTTGAAATCATTATCAAATTTATGGTTAATCATTATTAATTTTGCAATCGAAATTTTAAATTTGTTGAACCTTTTGTAGCATTTACTAAAGTTCAAAAATATAATCAACAATTTTGCAAGATATTTTTTTATCCAGAAAGATTTTTTGAATATTTGAAATAAAATATTAGAGTTTATGGAACTTTTGCAATGTAACAATGCAATGTTTCTTAAAAGTATAAATATTTTTTTTTGAATTTTTATATTTCAATATATTTTATAGAGTTAATTAGCGAAAGATTAAGAAATAATAATGCTTAGCTCTATAATGTATGCTTAACTGCTTATAACCACCAAAAAGTTTCATTATCTTAGAGAAACACTTAGGAAAACTCAGTTTATTTTGAATTTTAGAAAAACAGCTGTTTTTAAAAATCAAAAACCGAAAACAGGCTGTTTTTCAAAAACAGCTGTTTTCCACAAACCCTAGTTTAAATGATATAACAAACAGCTTATATTTGAGATTTACTCGAACAACTTGATTTTATGGATAATCCATATAATGGATATGCAGCTTTTCCTTGCTTGATTTTTGTTCAATTTTCCTGTTGATATTCAACGACGATGCTTCTGACGATATTATAAAAACACAATAACAATAAATTTATTGGATTTCTTTGGAACTTTCCGACGAAACATAATATTTCTTTACCCTTAAATTTGTAAACATATTGATTGTTGCTATCAAAAAAGTGTGCAAATTTCAAAAGTTTTTTGTGCAAATTTTAAAAATTTCCATGCAAATTTCAAAAGTTGAAAATAAAATGCGAATATCACTGCTGATAAGCATCGTAGCTTTAAAAAAGAGGTTGGAAATGAAAATTTCCACTATTTTCAATAGTTTAAAACCTTAACCAAGCCTTAACAAAGATCGATTAAGAAGTTTCACGCAAATGAAATTTTCATGAACAAAATTGTGCAAATTTCAAAAGTATTTACGCTATTGATGAATAAGGATTAAAAATTAATACAAACTAGTTTGTGCTGATTAACAGTGGCAGCTACTTTACTTGTTTGTTTGTGTTGAAAAATAAGAAAAGTTCTTTAAATTAAGCTGAATTGTGAGAGGTAAAATACGCTCAAAAGTGCTGAATTGTTAAAAGTATGCTTAATAAGACTAAATCGTAAAAGGAGCAAATTAAACTCTATTTTAAATTCTATTTAAAACGATAAAATTTCCGCTTTAAAAAGCTAGAAATTAAGAAACAAAAATTAAATTTTAACATAAACTCAATTTGATTCAATCTAAAACTACATTATTCTCGAATAAAAATCATTATTACATCATAAGAAACTTTCTATTTCATATCACACCATTTATTTCTATATCACATAATAGTTCGTACTATCTTAATCATACTCCATAAATTTTAATTCAATTCAATTACACTTCATTATTTCAATTCAAGCTTTTCTTTTACAAAGAAACTAAATAGAATGAATGCAATTTACATTTGTCATAGCACTCTATGATTCACTAAGTGAAATATAATTTCATATTATGCTTTTATGTGAGGCGTCTATTAATATATCGAAGCTTCCTACGTAAAAAGGAACGAATCTTCTTTCAATTTTCTATCTCTCTTCTTTTTTGCAGAAAAAGTTCCCCATAGATAATCTCGCTGAATGGAATCACAACAACAATCCACTAGGCCTTAGATGTATGCATGTCTACGTCCTTGTTTTTGACATGGGAAACTTGGATACATTTCAAGTGAGTTTTAAATGAGAAATTATTTTTCTGTCGTTTTGAGGCTTTCCGAAAGCATAAACATCATTATTTGGGACAAAACTACCCATTTTAAATATTTATACATGCTTAACTCATATTTCTCTTCATTCATTTAGTATTGCCGATCGATCAGAGAGCAAATTCTATCAAGCTTCACTCATCGCAATTTTAGCATTATGGTTGTTGGTAATAAAATCGATTTAGTGGTTGACTCACCAAATTATACTCAGGTATGAGTTGCTTTCTGTGTCATATTAATTTTATATGAATTTTTTTTTATTGCATTCTTTTTTTGGTTGCTCATATCATCTAGGAACTCAAGGATATATCAGCTCTCGTTCGTAAACATTGGCGATCGGACTATATCGAATGTTCTGCAAAGTGAGTAAAATGAGAATGTTTAAATTTCATTTTGAGGGAATTTTGATGTGGGGTTGAATTTAAATGATGTCCAATGTTCTTTAAGATGAAAAGGATCGTGGACAAAGTTTTGTTTCTCGGGTATTCATTAGAGTACATGATGATCCGTAAATTTAATAATTTTTATCTACATAACACATGACGTCATTTCTAAATTCCTCCCATACATGTTAAACTTGAATAAAAACTCATGCAAAAAGACCAGCATGTGCTTCCTTTAATATTTATAACGAAAAAAAAGGATAAAAATAAACTTTTTTTTCTCTCTCATTCCATTACGTCCACAGGTACAACTATAAAATAAATGATGTGTTTCGAGAAGTTATGGGTGTATCAGGTATGAGTGGATGCTCAGGAGCTGGCATTGAATTTTCACAATCATCCCGACATAAAAGCAAATGTAACATTCTTTAATGGGCCTTTTAAGCAAGAAATTATTTAAAGAAAAATCAACAATAAAAGTAATGATAATAGTGCTAGGAGTGATGGAAGTGACCCCCCTTTGACCAAATAAATAATCTACCTACTCAACTATAACAATCAAATTTATTGTGAAAATTCAAAATGGTGTCGAGAAAAAGTCGAAAATGCTCATCAACAAAATAGATATCGACATTAATTCCATCACTGTCTTCACACTCTACCCTAAACTGGCAATAATGTTTACACTATTAAAGTAAGGAAGTTTTACTAACAAAAAAATAAAATAAAAACGATGAGAGAATATTAATGATAATGTCATACGCAATTTTCATTTTTCGTTTTTTCGGGTGAATAACAAAAAAGAATTATTATGGATGGAAAATATTCAAATAAGGCGAGAAATGATAAATATTTGAAAAACTGTGTAATACAATATGAATAATTTATTAAAATTATTTTTCAACAATGAATACTGCTGTTAATGTTAATAAATGATGATAAAAAAAAGACTTTTTAGAGTGAGAGAATTAAAAACAAAAATAAAATATTTTTCTAAAGCTCTCCAAAAAAACCCAACACAGCCCACCCAGATATATTTTCCCACCCCCAACTCTATGTTCCTATTTTAAGGTTCACCTCTATTTTTTTTTCTTCTCCTACAACTTTAACAGTCAACAAACATCATCATCATTTTGATTTAATTTTCGAATAATAAAATATTCAAATTCCTTGGAGTTCATTTATAAATGACGTTACAGATCCATGGTAGGAGGTCCTTAAACAAAATATTTTGTTGGAATTCAAACGTTTGTTGTTTCCGTCATTTTTAAACGACCCTCTCTTTAAAAAAATAAACAGCACTTCAATATTAAACCTTAAAGGTAGTGAGAGAAATGATTTAAGACAGGGAAAAATGAGCATCGTGGAAATTGTCACATCTGTTTGAAGCTATATTTTTAGTGCATTTTCCCAAGAGAACTTGAAGTTGAGTTTCACTTGAAGCAAATCCATTTGTGCCATAAGGATGAACAATATGAACTTTGATTTTGAAGGTTATGTAATTTTATCAACGAATGTTACAGAAACTGATTGTGGATTTCTGGAGTGAACTTTAGTTCAAGGGAATTTGATAGGATTTGAACATATGAATCTGACATCTTTATAATTTAAAGCAATAGAATTCTTGCTATATTAGTAACTTACTGATTGCTAAATATTCATTATATAGGAAATATTGGATAGTAAGAATAATAATCTGTAAAACTATCTCTAGAGTGCACTTGAGTCTATATTCTAGATCTCTTTATTCTTTTATTCATAACAAACTCGAGAGTTTTGCTCTTTTCTCACCTTGAAATGTTTCCAAAGCATCAATAATTGAAATATGGATATAATAACTGAAGATATCTTTAGTATTTGATGTCAATAGGTCAAAAAAATGGAAACTCACCCTTGTGACACCGAAAAACTGCACTAAAAAGCTCGTTTCAAAATACCGAAAATAATATCAAATTTTGTGTGACTTTTCCTTTGTTCCCCCGACACAACCCTTATCAAGTTATTCATCCAAATGTAACAAAATAAAAAAAAATATTTGAAAGGTAGGAATAAAATTATTAACCTTATGAAAATGAATAAAAAGTTTCTTTTGTTCATAAAAAAATATCGCACAAATCAAGTTAGCAGAAGAAAAGGGGGAAAAAATTAATAAGAATGTTAAATCGAGTCATACATATGTCTCATGCATGTTATTTCTATTTTGACATTTTCATTCATGAAAATAAGATTGTAGAAAATTAAAATCATGTTGTATGTGTAAGTACTCTCGATTTGAGTTGGAGTTATGTTTAAGACATCAAAACAAGACTTTTGAGTTCAGTTTAAATCTTAACATTTGCACAATTTTCAATTTGTGAGAATGTATTTTTGTTTAAAATTGAATCCAAAAGTTCTAAATTTGAAATTTTTGTTTATCATTAAATTCAAAATTTAAAAAATGTTCATGAGATTCGTAACATTGTTCATTCATTTCTAAATGACTTGTAGATTCATAATTTAAAGATCCAGTTGAGTTAAATCAATCAAAACCAAGAAATTTATTGATTTTTAAATCTTCCAGTTTTAAAAAACAATTTATAGTATTGTCAAAAATCAATTTCTTGAGCTTTAATGAAGTCCAAAAACCAACTTTACAAATTCAATCGAGAATACTTTACACAAACAATTCTCAAAAATATTCAATAAAATAATAAAATAATCAGTGCCAACTTTTTACTATTCATAAAGCCATGAAGCATTGACATAAACATTGTAAAATATTACATGAAAGTTAATAAAATTAAATTTAAAAATAATATACAATATGACTGTGAATATTCAAAAATAAAAAGTAGAAATTTCATGACAAAAAATTTTATGTGAAACTTAGCAGTTAAGAGCTAAAAATGTTACTTTATATATATGTAACTTATTACTCCTGAAAGGCCTAATCTATTGTTGAATTTAGGATATTATTAATACTCATAAACAATTACATAAAAACATAGAAAATCGTTCATAAAAATGCTTTCATTACCATTTTTCGCTTTGTTCTTTTTTCATTAGTGATTAATAACAGTTGATATATTTGCGCACGTGATACACGGTAGTGTGAAACAAATATTGTATAAAGAATGGTTAATCATTATGCTGTGAGATAACAAAAGTTACAAAAAAATATAAATTAACATTTAAAATGCTTTCAAAATTAACATTTTTCAACATTATTGGCATGAACATTTAATTTTCTAGTTCATAAAGATGATGAGGATGTAGAGGAATGTAGGATATTATATCTTTTTTTGGGAGAACTTTTTCTCTCTGTAAAGTAAAATGAAACTTTTGTGTTGATGTTTTTGGGAATGCAATGTCGGTTGCTTGTAGAATTTTTGAGACAATAGTTGTTTGAGGATGAAAACTTTTAGGAGTGCGAGAATTTTTGAAATCTATTTTTACATCTATCCTTGGGAAAAGTTTTGTCAAATTATGAAGCCTTACGATATTGTGGATGAACATCTAATCAGCTATGTAAAATTCTAGTTTCGAGTAAACTTTTCGGAAAGAATTTGCTTTAAAATTTTAATTCTCAATGATTTGAGGTTTTGTTGAAAGTTGGTTCTAAAAACTTAAATGTTCTGATGTTTCAAAGCATAAATAAAAAGTTCTGTGAATTTATACAAGATTTCAAATCTTTCTGAAAAAGGAAAGGTAAGATTAATAAACATTTGAAGCTGTTAAAAAGTTTTGAAACATTCAAAATAACCATACCTTTTAAAATGAAATCTAATTGTTCAAATAATTCAAACTTAAAATAACTATTAACATTTTCACAACAAACGTTACTCGAAATATGAACTTACAATGAGCAATATACTAAAATCTGTTGACTAAACATCAAAAATATATTTATAATTTTCATAAACCTTCCAAAATAACCTTAAGAGCTCTCCATATAGCTTGAATTGTCTATTTTCCAATTCATTGATTTTTAAACGATCATAAAGATAAATATAAAGGATGATACTACATGAGTAGGCTCACTTTTAAACATAAAGAACTCTCAAATATGAGCAAATTATGACAAAAATATGAAATTGAAACAGTTTCATATTACAAAGGGGTCTTTTGGATTTAAGGTTACTTCAAAAATTTAGACTTAAAGGTACGCTCTGTAATAAGATGTGTAATTACGGATGAACTGACTTTTTATTATTTTTAAACATTTTGATCAGTTTCAAGCCCTTTGAATCGATCAAAAATATTTTCATCGTGTTGATTTCCCCTTCAAAAAATCCAAAATGCTTTACAAAACTTATATCCATCCCAGTCTCGTAACCAATCCATCTAGTATGCTTCTAGTCCTTTAAACACAGCTGAAGGTCATTTATTGCTTCACTTTACAGTGATAAATATGCAAATATTTGCTCAGGAACAAGCTACAAATATTGTTCATTCCAAAAGTTTATTTAACGATGACTAAACTGAAGAAGAGGACAAATTAAGTATTAAAATAAATTAAGTAGTCACTTAAGACTCTAAAGATTGACAAATATTTTCCCAAGGACATGAAAATGAATAAATCTCAAGTAAGACTAAATTATAACATATTAAAAAGAAATGCCATGCAATAAATTATAACAAAATTTAAAAATCAAAAAAGACATGAGCAGCGTGAAATTTATTTTAAGCATTAAAATTACAAATTAGTTATGAAAAAAAAAATTCAATTTTTGTAGCTAAAGTGGGTGAAAATGTAGATTGATAAAAATTATTGCTAAGCAAATAAACATTAGTTAAAATATGATAAGTCACAATAATAACGAGAAATAACATGTGACGTAGATATTTCTAACATAATTTTCAAAAAAAAATTGCCACGTAGTTTAAAAAAGAAATTAAAATAAATAAATTAGTAGATTGTGAGAGAAAAAAATGGTGGAAAATCGATCATCCTACTTTTGAAGGTTGATTGAGTTCTATTTGAAGGAGAAAATAAGCCACGCGCTGTATTATACATAACTTACATATGAGAGAAAATTTAAATACATTTGAGCGTTTTTGACAGAAGCTAACGTTTTTATTTTGAATAATTTAAGCAATTTGCATCGATTTTATTTCCACTTTGTTCAATAATTTAAACATTTTGGCTCTTTAAATCATTTAAAGTTGTTATTATTTTATAATTCAAGAGCTGATTTCATTGTTAAACTCATTTCTGTTGACATAGGATACATCATTAAATATATGAAAGAATTAAAAGCAATAATTTATGTTTTATTAAACAAATAATTGAATTTATGAAAAAGGTCAACGTGGGAGAAATTGTAAATATTGATATTTGTCATTAATAATTAGCAAAATGAGCAAACTGATGAATTGAAATGTTTTTGAAATTATAACATATTTTTGGATTTGGATTTTTTCCAACGAACAACTCTTTGAAGCTGAAGTTGATGAATTAAGTTTAAAATTTCAATTTTAACATTTTTAAATCTCAACGATTAAGTTAAAAATTGAAAGAATTTCAAATTTCAAAAGTTCAAAAGATACAAATTATTAATTTTGATTAGGGAAAATTAAAATAGAATTTGAATTTTGTAAAAAAACCAATATTTTGAATTTTATTAATCAAATTTCAAAACTTTAATTCTTGAATAATTTAAGCAAATTTAATCTTAAAACTTGAACAGTTTTGAACTTTTATTAATTTTGAATGTTTTTTGAAGATTTTGAGATTTTTAAATGATTTCATTTTTCTTTACAAATTTTCTTTTTAAAGTCCAAATTTGACTTAAATTGTTAAAACTTAAAAGTTTCTAAAATAACAAAACTTAATTGTTTTAAAAAGAATCAAAAATTTCAAATCATTTTGACAATATTAAAGCTTTCAAATCTCATCAACTCCTACTTTAATTAATAAATTAATGAGCGAGTTAAGAATACAAATCGGACTCATTCAAAGCTGTCAGTTTTGTATCATTAAGCTAATTAATTTTGACAATTTTTAATTAAAGATTTCTAATGAAGCAGAATTAAAACATAATATTATTTTCTACGGCACACATTATTCCTAGAAAAAGTTTATGCTTATTATGTCCTTAGTTACCTACGAGATGAAAAAATAACAAAAGAAAAGAAAATTTTGCTCATTCCGTGCGAGCGACTGTCTCTAAGTCCATTAAATTAGATAAATCGCTTCAAGATTCAAAAGATTAAAAGAAGAATTTCCTGAATAGTTATTGTTAAATTACGGAAATTTTCTTATCAGTTATATTGAAAAGAATTAAGCAGCTGGATAATGTTAGAAAAAAATGAAATTAAAATCTAATAAGGAGTTACGACATATTCTTTAATTGAATTATACCCCAAAAAAATTATAATACAAGCTGTTGTTTTAATAAATGAAATAGTCAACTGGACTTAATTTTTTGCCGAACAAAAGAAGAATAAAATTAATAATTAATAGATATGAATGATCCCAAAAGCAATGCGATAAAAAAATTGAGAATAATAAAATGAAATCGTTAAAATACAAGTTCATAATATTAGAGAAAGTATTTGATAGTTCATAGAGACACATAATATACTTCATAGATCATAAACATTAAACTGAGAAAAAAAAGTGAAGGAAAAATAAGCGTAGTTGTTAAGAGCTAGTTTGAAAAACAATAGATATAAATTAATTAATAAAATGAATCATAGTTACTATGGTATTGAAAATTTAAACTAAGTTTCATTTCTATATATTCAGGTTTGTAGTGTTTTTTTATAAATTTTTCAGATTGAAAACAATTTCTGTATCCTGATTCTAGACACCAAACTATTCTTTTCTTAAGTTTTTTAACGAAATAAGCTTAAATTGCATAAATATTTCATAGGGGCCGTTCACTTGTGACGTCCAGGGGGGGGGGGGGGGGGGGGGGTCAGCAAGAAAAAAACAATAGAAAATCCTGGAAATCTATTGTTCTTTTTTGAAAAATGATCGTTAATTTCGGACGTCATAAGTGAACGACCCCATATTGAATCCATTAAATTGCTTTAATATCTTCAATTGTTGTGAAATCTTCAAAACAAACATTATTTCTAAGTACTTGTTCCCCAAATCTCTGCATATCCACATAAGCTCATCCACAACTTGCGCACATGACTTAGTCACGTCTTAATTTTCTCAGAATCGACTGTTATTTCACGATTTGAATGGAATTTACGTCAATTTTGTGAAAATGGAACAACTGTCGATAAAGCAGTTTGAATTTTGCACAAAACAGTTTCAGTTCCCTCAAAAGCCCCGCGTGTGAGTGTTCAAAAGTGATGTCACGTCAAAATAATTTTTCAATTTTAATACAGAAACTTAAAGTTATTCAACTGAATGTGATGTGTTTCGTGGAGATAATAGACATTGTTGAGTGTTGTATGAGAATATAGAAGTGACAGAACTTGGGAACGTGCTCAATTTTAATACCCTTCAAATAACCTTGTTGATAGAAAATTAGTTGAAAGAAAATTTTCATCAAAGAATTATTTTGTGTGTAAAATTCACTCGGTTAAGATCAATTTTCATTAAAGTAAGTTATTAAAATAAATCTGTGAAAGTTAAAAGGCATCAAAGGTCATAAAGTGCTTTAAATATTTTCAATAATTTAGTTTAATATTTTTGCGGCTCATAAAAACTTATTCAATTTTGCTTACGATGTCAGTTTCCGACTTTCTATTGGCTGGATCTTTTAATTTATGGTTTTTATTGATTCTTATCGGATTTGTAATCAGTTTTGATAAGAAACGAAGTCTAATAGACAAAATAATTAGTTTAATTCAAGATGATCAGGTTTTATTGTAACTTCCATTGAAGCTACTAGGTGACATTCATTATATAACACGATTGCAATGTTACAGCATAAGCATTTTAATAGAAAAATTGATAACCTGGGCTTATTTATAGACATAATTAACGTTTTGTTTCTTAATTCTGTCTCAAGCTTTCACTTTCGGTTAGTTATATGACTTTTCAAGCCAAAAAAAAGTCCATCCAAAGGTCATCGACTGCGCATTATCATGAAAAAAGTGAAAAATAAGAAAAAGCAGAAATTTTCAAGGTCTTAGACAATTTCATGATAATAAAATTGGTCTATATGTCTCATTATCAACTCAATTATTCGTCAGCGCTATTCATGCAACTCATTTTATCACCTCTTGTGCTTATTTTTAAGTATATCTTTCTTATTTCATAATTTCTTCTCTTTCTAACGGGGATATGATGACCTTGTTCAAGATCAAACTTTTTCCAACCACGCGACACTCACTGTTCTAGCAAATATCAGTACATCCTGCAACAAAGGCCAAATTCATTGATTCAAAATCGTAAATTAAAAGTGAAATACGACGTAAATCACTCAAAATAAATTTGCACGTGGTTGCATTTCGATTTATTTTTAATCGATTGAGCTATTTGCAGTTATATCTATCAACTATAGCTTCACTAAATGCCAAAATACTTTGTATTATTATTTTTTGCGATCTACGTTAAAGTTGCCAAGCCGGTTTCATTCTTGTTCCTTATGATTTGCCTTTAAAGTGGTCAGGAATTCTATTTTAAAATACGATCGACTTGATAATGAGCATTAAATGTTTGCTTTTATGCTTTAGACACTGTATTCTTTTAGGTCAGCAGACAATAACCTTTTTGCAAAATTGATTTAATGGACTTTTTATATATTGCAATTTTTATCAATTTATTGCACATGAAAGTGTCTGGCTCGAGTTGTTGGATATATTCATGTTGCACGTAGGATGTCAAAACCATTTATGAGCTTCGATAATCCTTTAAAACATGAATCAGACTCAACTCAAAAGTTTTGGAAATCAATTAAAATTAAACCGTTATTAAAATGTTTGAATTTTTCCACTATTCCAAAAGTTTCGTTAAATTTTTGAATTTTTAAAAACCCTTAGGGTAATTCCATGAGTAAACAAAACTGAAAAAAAAACGACTTACAATTTCTCTCAACTTGTTATTCTCAAATTTACTTTGACCGTTATAACATAATCGAAATTATTCTTGTGGAATAAATATTTTATCGATAATAATCATTAATTAAAGTGTTTTAACAAGAAATTCGTATTAATATCTGTCATTAATCATTTTAAATAATAAATAACGCGAATAAAAGTCTAAAATATCTTAAATACAGTGAAACATTTAACGGTCTAAAAAGATTTGAATATTTTTATCTTACGTGTGTTTTGTAATAATCGGTTAAAAATTAACCGTTTGACACAGTTTTTCTCAGTTTTCTCGTTAATTACAGCATATTATTAAGTAGAACTCACATCTATTTGGAGATAATTTAGTTTAGAATTACTTAAATTACTCAATCACTGGCTAAATCATGTATATGAAGAGAATTTTCATGTACACATTTCACATTTTCCGAAGATTTAACCGTTTGACAACAGTTTTATTAAAATAATTAATTAAAGACATATTTATGCTGTTAAGTTTTAATTGTCATCAAATCGAGTTAAATGTTTTTAATCAAAGAGAATAACACTTTTAAAATTTTTTTTTTCGATTTCCCACTCATGGAATTACCCTCAATAAATAATCCTTCAAACATGAATCAGTCTCAACTGAAAGTTTTAGAAATCAATTAAAATTAAACCGTTATTAAAATGTTTGAATTTTTCCACTATTCCAAAAGTTTCGTTAAGTTTTTGAATTTTTAAAAACCCTTAATAAATAATCCTTTAAAACATGAATCAGACTCAATTGAAAGTTTTGGAAATCAATTAAAATTAAACCGCTATTAAAATGTTTGAATTTTTCCACTATTCCAAAAGTTTCGTTAAGTTTTTGAACTTTTAAAAACCGATAAGATTTGAATCTCAAAAATCCGTTAAGAATTCAAATTTAAAAAGATCGCTTAATTTAAAATTTCTGAAATTTCGTTAAAAACTTCAATCACTTAATACCTTCAGCCACGCATACAGCAACAATATATCTACAAAGTAGGATCTTTTTCGAGTGCTATATCATCCCAATAAAAACCTACTTGTCAACAACATCGATTTAACTTTTTTCATTAAATAAATAAAATGTCAAATATAGAAAAACATGTGCAATCATCTCACATTGTGTGATAAGCTTCACACGCCTCACTTTTTCAACCAATAAAAATCCAGCTAAACAAAAATATTTGTTCATGACGGCAGAGACTTAAAGTTTTGTCTCTAAGACGCGTTATCATCAAATTTTGACCTTGCCTAGCATCCCAAAAAAATATATTACGTACGACAACTAATTTTGAACTTTGTTTGTTTGTTTTTTAAGGCTTTCGGAAAACAATCTAATCAGCAAAGATGACTACATATTTCAATGAATACCCACAAGAATTGAAAGACGAATTGGCCCGTATTGCCAATGCCATCGTCGCTCCAGGCAAAGGTATTTTGGCTGCTGATGAGTCAACTGCAACATGCGGAAAGCGTTTTGCTGTAAGTTTATTTTTAACGCACAAATTTGACTTTTCCTAATGTCTTAATTTTCTTATTTTTTAGGATATCGGAGTTGAAAACAGCGAAGAAAATCGTCGTGCATATCGTGAATTGCTTTTCACCACAGACAATGCTCTCGCAACCAACGTATCCGGTGTCATTCTTTTCCACGAAACTGTCTACCAAAAGGCTGCTGATGGAACTCCATTCATCGAAGTCTTGAAGAAGAAGGGAATTATTCCCGGAATTAAGGTTGACAGCGGTGTTGTTGACTTGATGGCTTCCGAAGGCGAATGCACAACTCAAGGTGAGTCTTAATAACTGTAACGGTTTTTCAAAATTTAAATTTCAACACGTGGTCGATTTTGGATGTATTTGTGTGTTCGGGTTTTTCAATCGTTGACCGACGAATTGTTCTTTACATAATTCTTTTTATGAGGAACAATAATAAAAGATCTTTGAAGGATCTTTATGGTTTAACAAAATTAATTCTTTTCCGATTGTAAACATTTTGTGGGAATTTCCGTTGAAGTAGTTCAATGAACTATAAAAATAAATAAACAATGAAGTGAAATAGGCATGACTGGTTGTTAAACTTAATATATTAAGCAAAATTTCATGTATAAATAATAACAGTCAAGTAATATTCAAAATTTAACTGTCAAACAAAACTCAAAACAGAACCGTTTGAAAAATTCAAATCCAATAAATCCGTTCCTTTCAATATTATAACAATGGATACAAATACATACGATATGATAAATGCCAATCATGTCATTATTACGGGAACCGAAAATCTCGTTTTATGGCTGATTCCAACTGAGAAACCTAAATATTTTGCTATTCTAATCTCTGACCCAGTTAAGAACATTATAACTCAATTTATTATAACTAATCGCCTATCCATCTCTATTAAGGTCTTGACAACTTGGCCCAACGTTGCGCTCAATACAAGAAAGACGGATGTGACTTCGCTAAGTGGCGTTGCGTCTTGAAGATCGGCAAGAACACCCCAAGCTACCAAGCTATTTTGGAAAATGCCAATGTTTTGGCCCGTTATGCCTCAATCTGTCAATCACAACGTATTGTTCCAATTGTTGAACCAGAAATCTTACCTGATGGTGATCATGATCTTGATCGTTGCCAGAAAGTCACAGAAGTCGTCTTAGCTGCTGTCTACAAAGCACTTAGCGACCACCATGTCTACTTGGAAGGTACATTGTTGAAGCCAAACATGTGCACAGCTGGTATGCAATACAAGGGAACAAGACCCACAGCTGAACAAATTGCTTTGGCAACAGTCACAGCTTTACGTCGTACTGTCCCAGCTGCCGTTCCCGGTAAGACTTAATTGAGATTTTAAAAATACTATTGACATTACTTATTAACATGGTTTTGATGATTTATTCAGGTGTTACATTCTTGTCCGGTGGTCAATCAGAAGAAGAAGCTTCAGTCAATTTGAATGCCATCAATAACGTTCCAAAGAGACCATGGGCATTGACATTCTCATACGGTCGTGCATTGCAAGCATCTGTGTTGAGAGCATGGCAAGGAAAGAAAGAAAACGTTAAGGCTGGCCAAGACGAACTCCTTAAGCGCGCTCGGGTAAGTGAAACAAAGAAAAAAATAATTTTATTTAATTTAATTTACTGCCATTCGAAGACCCAAAAAAAGAATTGAAAACGAGTTTCACGAATTGCTTATAAACGAAGGTCACGAGACTTATTTCTCCTCGCGCTTGTTCTTTTCTTTTGTGTTCTGTCCCGAAAATGTAGAAAAAGTCTCATGACTGAATCAGCTTCACAAGATGTATTTCATAATTGAACATTCTATTCTCAATGAAATTCACATTTTGGATTTTTCGCTTTATGGCTTTGAATGTGATTCATCATGAAGTCATCGTTCTTACCATTTCTTTTATGTGGAATACGTGCTAATGTACCCGATTCTATGAGATCTTTTTTAATGACATATGATATTATAATAGATGAATATATTCATGAAACACCTGACCACAATTTTCCGTTGTGGTCGATTCAGCTGATTTTTATTGCTTTGTATTTAATTTAATAGCGATTAATGGTGACATTAAGGGGGTAGAAGTGAATTTGAACATTTAACGGTTAAATAATATTTGAAATTTAACAGTCAGAAAATATTTGAAAAACTAAGAAGATAAAATTTTGAAATATTTCCTAACCGCTAAACTTTTAAATGTACAATTTTGCACGTCTCCGTTACCTGCCAATTACTATAATGCCATTCAGTCTAGTTCAGTTTTAAATATTATTGCACGAATTCCACGAATTACTCTACTAAATTGGACGATTGAAATCTTCAGTCGATGACCCCCTTTTCTACATATTAACCATTATATGCTTTGAGATTAATGAATCAAAAGAACACAAATGATTCGCAAAAATCGTTTCTTGTGCCGTTTTATATCCAACACGAGAAAAAGAAAATTTAAATTTTTTTTCATTTAAATGTTGATGATCATCAGAATTGAAAATGAATGGAAACAAAAAAAAATATTATAAATTATCTAAAGAACCGGATTATGTCTTAGTTTTCGGTTTTTGTCTTTTAAACTTCAAACAATTTTTTACTTCTTTTGTTTAACATTAATTTTATTTAACTGCGTGTTGGGTGGAATAAAAAAATAAAAAAATTATTGCACATTTTCGACTACGTGGAGTTATTTAAAAAAATGAAATTAATTTTTTTTTCGCAAGTATCACGCCTTCAAACTTCTCACATGTCGTGCAGAGTGAATACTTTAAAATATTGATATTTTAATGAATGAAGTGATTTACATTTATGCATAATATTTTTAACTAATTTTTGATTGTCATGTTTCCTATTAAAAAAAAAAAATCAGAATCTTTGATAACCTTGCACGTTTTTCGATGACACTTTCTCGTGTATATCAGTTTGTGAATCCTGTAGCGTCGTAAATAAGAATTCTAAGTGGCATTTGAGAATCTTATGATAATCTTCGGCTCTTTTCTGTCTCCGAGTTTCTGAATACATTAATTTAAATCAGGTGTTTCGTTCCGAAAAAAAATGAGATTCTCGAACAAAAATTTCCGTTTCTTATGCAATTCCCAACCGTCTATTACAAGAGACTCTGATTTAATCAACATAATATACAATTATTTTAATAAAAAGTGAAAAAAACATCTTGACACAATTTTAACAACGTATTTCGTTTAATATTAAGGTGTAATGCGAATGACACGAAATGAAAACAGCTTTTTTTTCTGATGTTATGAATGAATTTATAGAAAAATCGAATTTAAAATTAAAGAAAAATAGTAATTTTTAGAAAAGTAAAATAGAAATCAATCAACTCCTACGAGTTGAGGTAATGAATTACACATAGTTTTAGAAATTTCTTATGAAATTATGAGTATTGTTATTTTTGGGAGTTATGAAATATCATAATCTTGTAAAAATAGATAAAATTATTGAATTTACTTCTGTAATATGACGCGTGACTAGGTATTTTTACACTAATTTGAATAGAATACTTTGAAATCTTCAAAAAAAGAATAAAATTTGTCCTAAGATTCGAACTTATCGCCTTTTGGTTAGAAGCCGAATGCTGTTACCACTAATCTACTTAACCGTGTATAATCAAATGGTAAGGTTTCAATATAAATTATACTTAACAACAGTTAATTAAAGTAACTTGAAATAGATTTTATAATATGAGTTTTTATTAAAAAAATAAATTAATTTAAGTAAAGCTATTCAAAAATCACCATAGCGTGTCTCGACTTATCTATATTTCATTATAATCGTTAGGATTTGAACCTAAAACTTCTCGTAAATTTACTAATATTCACAAATCTACTTATATTTATTTAAAAATCAAATGGCAAACAGCAGGATATATGAACTCTAATAATCAATAGCTAGTCAAGCTAGTAAATTCCACAAAAATATTTAAATAAACACTTAACCTTTTAATAAATCCCATCCTTATTCCTTCAATGCTATAGCACAAACTATCCTACAAAACTTAGCCTATAGTATTGACTTCCAAAATCTTTTATGCTTCTCAAAATCTGTGATAGCTTTAATAATTTTATTTTCTATTGTGATTAACATTTATTATTTATTATTTTGTTGCTTTGTTAATGAAATTTAAATATAATATAAAAAATTTACCATTCAGGCAAATGCTTTGGCATGTCAAGGAAAGTATGAAGCTGGATCAATTCCTTCATTGCAAGCAAACGCAAGTCTGTTCATTAAGGCACACGCTTACTAAACACAATCTACACACAAGTACACAAATGAAGAGTAAAGACCACACGTTTGATCTAATGTTGCTTTATTCCTTCCTTATGCTTTTAACATCACACAGACAGAGTTGAATCAACAAAGATCGGGCAATTGAATATTTCTGTAAATACACAATACACAAACTAGACTCGATGCAATCACTGCCTGAATTTATTATTAGTTTATTTAAACACGACAACTCTGACACTGTATATTCTTATTCCTATGACTTTTTCTAAAATGTCATAATTGGTACACAATGATTTATAAAGCCACGTGCAAACATTAGACACTTCCTTTCCGGAACACATCTCCTTTTTGCTGAGCTTGCTGAGTGGATGTTTCCTGTTGTTGGACACAAAACTCTTTACCTCTTCCACTTTATTATTAAGCTTATTATTTAGTTTGCTTCTTTATGTCATTTCCTGCATGTTTTTATTTTAATTTGCAATAATTTTTTAATTCTATGTTTTCTATCCTAAATGTTTTATTAAAAATGATTGGAAATATATTGGCATGTACTTTTTGACCTTTTTTTTCGATTACCTTACTAATTTTAAGCACACAATCAAAATTTTTTATTGTTTTTCTAATAAAAAAATGCACAAAATTTATTTGTAATTTTTATTTTTTGTCCTAGTTTAGTCCTAGTTTTGTAAATCCTTATTTATCCTCCTTTTAATTACTTTTTTTAAATACAGCATCCTGAGTTGTGTATACCTTAAGGTTTAACCTCTTTAATGTGTCCTAGTGTGCATTCTAAGGTTGACCTTAAGGTAGGCAGCAATCAGCCTTAAATTATAAAGTATAAGGCACTCTATCCTTTGGATGTGCTGTTTAACTTCCAAAATGAACCTCCTGTCCTCGCTTTATTTTTTTATTATAATTTTTTATTTTTTGCAGACAAATTTTCTACTAAATTAAGCATACCACCTGCTATTTTCCCTAAAGCACACCCTACATTAGTAATTAAACACTTTAATTGAATATTCCTATGCTCCTCGGTAATAAAATCAAACTTGTCCTTTATGTCGATTAGATTCTTTTTCATTAAACTTTACATGCTGCCGTTATTACCTTTTTGTTCAACTACAGCTGTTGGTTTTTATGGATATATGGTAATAGAACGAACTATCAGTAGAGGAAGTGACTAAGAGAAAAAGTCAGTTTTTAAACAAAAATTTATTTTTTCTCCTTGTTTTATGCAGTACATGCTGATACTTTTATTACAATGTCACACGTGAATCTATCAGTAGCAACATTTCGTCGTGTATCTATGACAATTTTACGTCTTATCTTTGAACGAAAATCCAGTTGTGAAAATATTTTACAACGAAAATTCTAGAATCGTATTACATAAGCGGATGTTGAGGAATAAAAAGAAATCCAATAAGTGCCGAAATTAATTGAATTTCAAACGATTTGTAAAGAACAAAACCTGATCAATAGGATCGATTTAAAAAAAAACAAATATCAAACAATGAATAATCGAAGCCGATGTAAATAGAAATGGAGAAAAAAAAAATCTCGACAGATGAAGCTAGAGTGAGAGTGAAAAATCAATTACAAATTGCGTCAATGCATCTCTCAACAGCAGCAGTATTGCATATAGATTCAAGAATGTTGAAGAACAAAAACACACAATTCAGACAATTAGTTTAGGAATTTGAACAATTTTGTAATTATTGTGACATGACAGTAATGACGTTCGTGCTTCTCTAGTGCAAGGTTGTTTCGATGAAGAATAATAATATATGAAGTGAACAAGCGTACTTGTATGAGTAGTTGAATGAATGGATGACATAACAGCAATTGATGGCAGCTGATGTTTGAGGTATGGGAAGCTTGGGTTAATTTTCCATTGTGGCTTTGAATTGGGTTACGTATTCAAATCTATTGCAGATTTTTATGTGATTTGGTTAGGTTTATTATGTTGGAGTATTGTTCGGAGACTTAGTGTTAGGGATGTATGACCTACTCATGCACGTGCATCTGCTAGGGTATATGCCCAGACTTGGGTTAAGCTTGTTTTGACTATATTAGACAAGGAGCACCGTAGCTAGGAGCAATTAGTTTGTCTATCAAGATTGAACCTTAGCTCCTTTCCTATAAGACCCCTATAGACGTCGAAGACAGAAGAACTTCTATTGCTAGCGACTGTTAAATTGTCTTGTTTAAAACGCGTTAAAAATCCCTCAAGCTCCATTTAAATAAATTTAATTCATAACTATGTAAGTGCAGAGCTCAAAGTGTATTCTAAATGAATTAAAAACGATACTACAGCTCCTCGTTCAAGCAGCTATTATGCAAAA